CTGTGCGGAAGTGCGGCTTATTCGTTAATATGAGGGATGGATTTCTAGAAGCATTCCCTGATTGACTACTTGGAACAAATGGCCTCGTTGACGTAAAGTATCTCCGTTCCAAAATATTCTTGAAGCATATACTTACACCGCAAACGAAAAGTAAGAAAAAGGAGCCTGGTGTGAAAGGTCCAAATCACCACCATAGCTTCTCCTATCAAATAAAAGGGCAGTTACACAATGCACAAAGAGAGTTTTGTGATTTAGTTATATTTACATTTAAGGGCATTAACATCCAACGTATTCAGAGAGATGACACCTCCTGGTCAACCAACATAGAGCCTTTTCTACTCAAGTTTTACATGGAAGGCCCGACTTCCGCTAAAATTCCTCACGTAGACGAGTTGTCCGACCGAATAAACTGCCATTACTCCCGATCTGGGAATCTGTCGATCTTTGTTTGTAGGCCATAGTATCATGAAATCGAGGGGTGTGGCTTTTCGTCCGTCGAATATTGCTTCGGCGGTTTTTTTTCCGTGTAAGATGAGACCGTCGCGTGCTGCCGGAACTAGAACCTGGCGATTCTTCTCTGAACTGCTTCTTCCGTAAGCTTCAAAAAGGCTTTTTTTCGTTTCGCACACAATCCGTTCTGCTTGCCCGTTAGTTGCAGGATGGTATGGTGTACTAATGTGATGCCTGATGCCGTTTTTTTTTTTTTTTTTTTTTTTCAAAAACTTGTTTATTTTATTTGAAGCAAGATTTGGCGCGTTATCAGAGAAAAGTATTTTCGGTAGGGCAAAAGTAGGTAAAAGAGACCGTAGAACGTCAATGACGTGTTTGGACGTCGTGGCAGGCATCGTGTAAACTTCCAGCCACTTAGAGTACGCATCGCCCATGACTCCGCAGATATCCATACGTTTTGCCACCCACCGACTGAATAGTGGATCGTTTTAAGTTACTGTTCATGATGGCGTTGGAGTCGGTTGGACTCAAGGAAGACTTCGAGTCTTTCCACAAAGTTAGCCCAGGTGCCAGGACTTTTGTCGAAAGCGGTAAAAGTTCGAAATGTCGACAACGTCGGTAGCCACGTGTTGTGCTTGACACTGGACACTTACCATTCGCTGAGAAGAAACTTGGTAGTTCGTCTGCCATGAGTCGTCCAATATCAGGTCATCACCGCAACACCATCTCCCGACAAAACTGGTCTTCTTGTCCGCATGTCCATAGTTAGCAATCACGTCAACTTATAAATTCCCGAACGCTCATAACTTGCCGTCGCTAAACGCCGTTCATTCATAGCGTCTTCATTGCAAATAAACGTGTTCCTATTTCTTCTGCTGGTTTTCATCATATTCCTCCTAAGCTGTACTTACAACATTATGTGTGTCGGTACTTCCGAAAATATTGCAACGGCGTTTGTTTTCTGGGAACCCCCCCCCCCCCCCCCCCCGCCCTATAATGTAAACAACCTTTACAACATCTTCCGGACCCCGTGAAAGATAATATTTCGTGACCTTTTTTTAGTCGTCATTAAAATGGTGAGGTAAGTACCGTAAATCGCGAAGCAGTTTACTTGACGTCCGCTTCCACTGGTGTCTTGGTAGATTGAGTCTACTGAGCGTGCATTCCTGCAGAGGAAATTTTCATTAATAGAATATTGACACGTCAATCAACATTTGATTCCTTCTTGGTAAGATTTATTGCGAAAGCCCGTTACAACCGCCGAACTGCATCTCCCTATATCAGAGAACAATTTATACCCCGCCTGTCATTCTCGCATACATCCGTTTGCTGGGCCACGCTACTTGAGCCAGCTGAGCACAGCTGGCAGCGGCGCGAGCAAGGCCACGAGGGGAACGGGATGGTGCTCGAGCCATCCCACTGTGAACCAATGTTTTGGCCACCCCACGGGTGCGTGTCGCCATCTATTGGTTGAACTAACGCCTTATTCAAAATGGCTGCAGTGGGACCGCAGCCTTAAGTACTTGTTATGAGTTGTGAATGCGAAAGCATGAATGCCGTTCTTCCGCTCCCATAGTTTGTCTGCGGTGTACTGGCGTGGACGACTAAGTTTCGCTACTACCGAGGTTGGCGAGCGCGCGCTCTCGATAAGAAACCGCAGCTTCGCACCTCCCCCCCCCCCCCCCCCCCCCCCGGCCCCTCTCTAGCCTCGGGCAATGCCTGACTGAAGAGCAGCGGCCGAGTGCGCGCTCTAGAGAAGCGACCGCCAATAGCTAGAAGCCATTTTGCTTAGCAAATGGGAGAATAAGCATTTATCTCGCTCTTTTTTTTTTTTTTTTTTGTGGGTACAGATTTTGCCGACTTTGCTCCAGGAGATAGCTAATTCTTTGGCACTAAAAATAGAAGTTGCTCTTTTGTGCAAGTGGGTTCGCTGCACTGCTTTATGGCTGCTTTGTTGCGGAGGCTAGGGAGGGTCTAAGTCACCTTGCGCCTTATAAATGCAACTAAACCTTCCCGGGGAGTCTCCGTTGTGTCTCAGTGGCCGACTGCACCACGCGCACTTCGACGGGCGGAATTAACGGATGCTTACATTTTTTTTTTTTTTTTTAAATTGCTTCACAGACTAAGTGATCGCGCAATTTCGGCGGGCCGTATTGGCGCGCTCTCAGATTGAATTTTCTTTGGCGAGCGTCTCCCACGGGCAATCTGGATCAACCCGAATTAACAGATTACTTTAAGACGTCGTTTTGGGTGACGCAGCCTCCAGATCTGTCAAGGACCGCTACGAAACCCGCTCCCGCCGAAATAGCCGGATTCAGCAGAAAGCGAACCAGGGTACGCACGTGACTTCCTGTTTGCTATGCATGATAGGTTGCACCAAGAAAGCTATAACTTTGAGAAAGCTCGCTCCCAAGAGCGCGGCTGATTTTGGCTGATTAAGAAGGAACATATGTATTACGTACAGTTAGACTGGCCATGTGAAGGTTTTTTTTTTTTTTAATTAATGATGAGGATATTCGTTACCACGAAAATTTCCCATTGTAGGAGATCAGTATAAAATTAATATCGGAACCACCCGAAATTGTTTTCAAAAGTCTTGACGGATGACACCCTAAAAATAAAAAAAAAGGCAGGACCGCACTAGCGCGTGCTTAGGGCTCCGTGCTGCCGCAAATGTTATCAGCAAGGTGGTCTTATAGTAAATAGGTTGTCACAAATGTCAGCAGTTTTAATCGTGTTGAAGCTTGTTATTTTCAGCAACATGTATCAAAGTGTTTTAAATACAAGTGATACAAATCTAATGCACTGGGAAACGTAAACACGTTATGAGGACAAAGGTTGTGTGAAGCCGGAGAAGACAATCTAGCGGTGGTTGTCGTAAGGGCAAGGCAGGATTCGAACGATGATTCTTGGATAAGGAGGCAGTACAGCGAGATTAAAAAAAGTATATGAGGTGGTTAACCCCACTGCCCCTGCTAAAGGTATAGGTTTTAGTTCCATCAACGAAAACTCAAAACAGACTCTAGAACGTTGAGACGAAGCTATAAAAACTTCCTCAGTGAAGCTTCAGCGTGGTAAATGACAGAGGAGGGCAAAGTATCACGTGATCATGCAGGCGGCCGTAGGTACGGGTCAGTGCATCTTCCCTCGGAGAAAAGTCAGTTATAAATCTTGTCAGTCGATGTTTAGAGAGCGAGAGGATATTCTGCCAGTTTTTTTTTTGGCGACATGGTTACACGCCGTAGATGAAAACATTTGCCAGTGCAATATGACTACTCGGTTGGGGCATTTCACGTGCATCACACAGTTGTAGTCCACAACCTCACGTTTTTGTTTTTTTTGGGGGGAGGGGGGGGGAGAGAGTTCCAACCACTGAAACAGAGCGCCACTGATTTAAGAGACAACGACGAGCTGCCCCAGGGTTCTAAGCCTACTTTGTGTCGTTTCCTGGTGTAATTTAGGCTTACAGAAGTCGAGACGGAACCTCTACCCGTTCCTAATGTTAAAGGAGAACATCCTCCAGTTGGGACTTAGGGATATCAGGTGCCAAGGAGACACTAAACTGAGATCAGCACGATATATCGCCAACGTCAAACTAGAATTAACGCCGGCATTAAAACTGTCAAAATACTGATTGACCGCAATGTATGTCAACGAGCCTGGCATTCGTGTGAGAGTTGAGTTCCGGGCTCAGGGACGAAGAGTAATTGTCGCTAATGCAGGAAATAAGTCATTCTTTGTTGCCGGCTGCCTGAGTGTCTTCCATAGATAAAAAAAAGCACACACACAACGAGGAGATGAGCTGAAACAAATTTAAAGTGTAATTTTGCCATCTCACCTTCTGGGCCGAGCTGAGCCCAACGGTGGTGCTGTGATGAACTATGGTATAAGCGCCCTGCCAAAAACAAAGCTCTGAATGTGATGCTAGGACCGCGAGATGGAAGATTGACGTCCGACGGTTGTCATCCACCAGCCAAAAGTTTAGCCTTTGGTGACATAGCAGATATTGGGTCAACGAAACGTTTCCACCGTAACGTCATATCTCAGATGTTTCCTCTCCCTCCCTCCCAAACCGAATGCCTAGCCCCCCCCCCCCCCCCCCTCCCTAGACCTGACCCAGAAATCCGCTCCTGCTGGGTGCGGTGGTTTCCGCCGTACCAATGTGAGCTGAACCTCACGGAGTTATTTTGGCCACAGGTGAAGCACAAGTCCACATTAAAGTACACTGTATTAAGACAAAGCATGTTGAGGCACACTGGAAGGAATCGATGATGAATGGGACAGTTTACTATTGGTGTGGTTGCGTAGGACACGTGAAGCAGTTTGAAGCAAATTTTAAAGATAAATATAGACTCTGAACATCAAATGAGCAGTTCCGAAACGCTCTTCGAGCTTTTTAATAAAATTCTATTTTTTATGCACAGATGATGTTTCTTGATTATGTACAGCTAATAGCAGATGTTTGGGCTCCTTGGTTCTTTTCCAACCTCTTAATGAAGAAGCTTTTTGTATCACCATATGTATAGATATATGGTTAGGTGAGAAGCAAACTACCTTCGTGTGCTGACCATTGTGATTGTGATTTTTTTCTTTGCTTGACATATCGACCGCCACCACAGGAAAAATGTCACAGGAGTCTGAAAGAATGCGAATAAGCATAATGTAAGAGTGCACAATAAAAATTAAAAAAAAAACACGTAGTGAGTATTACATTTACAAAAAGCTAACACATTGCCGAACACCTACATAAACACCAAGTACGCTACTTTACATCGCTTGACTGCACCTTAGCGCGAACACCCCCTACGAGCCCTGATATCCAATTTCTGTAACAAATGTGCAAATTTTTTAGCCTGAAAGTATGCAATAATTAAACCACATTCGTTGGAGGGTAACTCCGCTTCATTTTTGGTAGCGAGAAAACAATGCATTTTTTTTAGTATCATCGAGAACGACCGTACGTCAAATACTATAACATAATGCCACCCTTTAATTTTATTAGATTTGCTAACAAAATCTACGGTGCTCCGAATACAATAAATCTGCTAATTCAGTGGGTGACGAGCGGCGCAGGACACGCTGTACTTCTGTTTTGGTTACGTTTAGAGCTGGGGGAGCAGTTTTTTTATTTCATATTTTCTTCCCCAGGCCATAAATCATGGATGGATGGATGACTCCGGCTGAGCCATTTGGATTGGGCGGTAGCTTACGCTACCTAGTCATTTCGTTTTACCATTACCGAGATGCATTTCGCCATGTAATGGTGCACCGAAGAACATGAAGACAGCAGCTTAATAAGCTGCTGTCCATTGCTGGACGCCCCGCCCAGTCTAGCTCCCCATAGCCGAGGTGGTTCGGTAAAAAGTACGGTCAGCCTTCGAACCAAAAGATCCAGAGGGCGTGCTAGCAATTGAGGCGCAAAAGTTGTCGTACGCCGCAATGGCCTGAACGCTACCGCTTCGCCCATATGCCGCTCCGCCTCGACATTTGTCTCCAGCGGAGCAGTATGCCTGACGCCATGGTGACCAAGTCCCTGTCGCACGCCAGGAGCCCCGTGCACCGCGGAACACCAACGTGTGAGGAACGGCCGACTGACGCCCTATCTGCTACCACTGCGGAGAGGCTGCAGCCATGTCTGCCGACGGCGCAGCTTCCGCCCCATCGGCGTCCGGGGGTTCGCGCCGAACCACACTCGGCCCCGCCTTGGTGAGAGGCCGAGAAACATCGAGGCGTACCAGGGCCGACGTCCGTTCTCGCTGCCGGCTGCACCCAATGATCTCGTTCGCCGTCCCCACGATGTCCAAAGTCTACACTTCACCGTTCCCGCTGACAAAAGCCTGTCCACCATTCAAACCTCGAAACCTAAGCGCGGCAACCCAGGGAAGAGGAATTGCCGCTCACCGACGAAGTAAATATCCTCCCCAATCATTGGAGGTGTCCCACTCTAACGATGATTCGAAACGGAAGAGTGCTCCTGCGACGGAGCCCAATAACCTCAACATAGTTATTGACGGCCACGACGCGATGGCACTCATTGACACCAGAGCAGACCACACGGTTCTGAGTGGGAAACTCTCTAGCCGCTTTCGGAAAGTTACGACATCGTGAGATGGTCCACAGATCCGAACCGCTGAAGAACACCTCATCCCACCCGTCGAAAGATGCACCGCTCGCGTCGAGACTCATGGCGGAAGCTGTTCGGTGAAGTTCGTCGTTCTTCAGGACTGTGCGGGGGGCGTTATCTTCGGAATAGACTTCTTGTGCGAGTGTCATTGATCTGGAAGTGAACAGGTTGACGTTACAAAAACCTTTCCTACCACAGGAGGAAACAAAAACAACGTCATCCGTGGTCAGTGTCCTTGCCGACCATGTAAACCTGCCGCCGCGGTCAAGTGTTTTGTACCAGTCATTACCCATGAGGCTTCTCGCGTCGATGTTCTGCTCGAGGCCAGCGTTCAGTTGCATCTACGGAGAGAACTCGCAGTTGCAAAGGGTGTGACAGAGCTTCAAGATGGGTGCGCCAGAATCCTCGTTATAAACGTCCGATAAAAAGCCACTGCACCTTACTAAAGTGACCACCGTTTGCCACATGAAGGAACTTCAGGACTCAGCCGCCATTACTGCACTGTTGGAGGAATCGTCTTCACCGCAGTGCCCAAAAAACGCGAACCTCGGAACTGCACCTCGATCCGGTTTTCTGCTACAGGACGACGACGCCTGCTTGACCTCCTCGGCGAGTTCACTGAGTGCTTTCTCACTTCCTTAAGTTTATGACAATTGACGGTAGCGAACCACCGCACTGTTACTGACGACGACGCGCTCCCTGTACACCAGTCACCGTAATGAGTCTCTGTAAATGAAAGGGAGGTAATCCAAGCACAAGTACAAGAAATGCTCAATGACGACATCATCCAGTTTTCAAGTACTCCTTGGGTGTCGCTGCAGTCATCCTTCTGCAGAAGAAGGATGGGACTCTTAGGTTCTGCGTAGACTATCGTCGACTAAACGCCGTGACGAAGAAGAGCACATACCCGCTCACACGAGTGGACGACACCCAGCACCGGCTGCGCCACACCCGATATTTTTCGCTGATGGACCTGAAGAGTGGCTATTGGCAGATCAAAGTCGACGAGCGAGAACACGAGAAGACCGGCTTCGTCACGCCGGGCGGATTGTACGAGTTTAAAATTATGCCTTTCGGACTTAGACCTGACTCGGACTCGGACCGGGACTCGGACCTGCAACCTTTCAGTGTGTCATGGACACCATGCTAGCAGGTCTGAAATGGCAGAGCTGCCTTCTCTACTTAGACGACGTCGTTCTGTTTTCACGAGATTTTACAAGCACCTGAGAAGCCTTCGAGCAGTACTACAAGTGATTTGATCTTAGTAGTTTCTCCGCTGGTTGCCAGGTCACGCCTACAAGCACTCACGTGCTTTTGCGGACCTGTTTGTAATGATGTATATTTTCTTCGTGCAATAAAGACATTATTATTATTATTATTATTATCTTGACCGCTGGTCTCACCCTCAAACCGACGAAATGCCGTTTCGCCTATGACGAACTAAAGTTCTTACGCCACGTCGTGAGCAACGAAGGTGTTCGCCCTGACCCCGAGAAGACGCGCGCCGTAGCCGCATTTGCACCGTCATCGGCAAGAAGGCCGTTACAAGATTATCGGGTCTCCGCGCCTAGTGTAAGCGCTTCATTCCAGATTTTGCCAAGCTTTCTGCGGCGTTTACACATCTCAAAAAGGACGCTGTGAAGTTTCAATGGTGAGAACTACAGGGGGCATTCGACGAGCTTGAGCGGGGTTTTCAGAAACCACCGATCCTTAGCCATATCGACCAGTTCGCAGAAACAAAAGTTCACACCGACGCAAGTAATACCTGACTTGTCACGGTACTGGCACAAAGGCAGCTGTGTGCAGAGCGATTGGTAGCATACGGAAGTCGGACGCTGTCTAAGTCAGAGTGCCACTATTCAATGGCAGAAAAAGAATGCGTGTTTGTCGTCTGGGCGATAGCGAAGTTTCGCCCGTACTTGTATGCGACTCATTTCCGCGTGGTCACCGATCACCACTCGCTGTTCTGGCTCGCGAACCTAAAGGATCCCTCTGTTCGCACCGCCCGCTGGAGTCTCCGACTGCAACAAGTCGACATGACCATTACATACAAATCCGGTCGCAAACACAGTGACGCCGAATATCTGTTGAGAGCCCCGTCGAGTCACACCACCTGCCAGAACCGACAACGAGGAGGACAAAAGTTTTCTCAGCGCAGTCAAGGTAGCCAACATGGCAGAACTTCAACGTGACGACTGGGAACTCTGTGCCGTGGTTGATCACCTCGAAGGTCAAGAAAGTACCGTCACCCGCATTTTTTCTCGAGACTTGTCAAGCTTCGGAATTCGACGGGGTGTTCTTTCCAAAAAATAATTTCTTGACCAGCAACCTACATTGGCTACTGGCAACACCTACCAGTCTTCGCGCAGATATCTTCCAAGCCCGCCATGGCGACCCGACGGCGGGGCACTTTAGCTACAGGAGGATGCTCGCCAGGATTTTGAATAAGTACTACTGGCCGAGGCTACTGAAGACCGTTCACCTCTACACTCGGTCATTCCATTAGTGTCAGCGACGCAGGAAACCACCGACGAAGCTGTCAGGACTTCTGCATACGATTTCTCCTTCATTCACGACGTTTCAGCAGATGATAATAGATTTACTTGACCCTTTTACGCCGTCAACGTCGGGAAACCACCGCATAATCGTCGCCACAGATTATCTCACGCGATACGCCGAAACGAATGCCCTTCCTTCAGGGACGGCTGTGGAAGTCGCCTAGTTTTTCATCGAGTTCATCGTCCTCTGGTATGGCACTCCCGCAGTTCTGATTACAAATGCAGGTCATTGTTCATGGCACAGCTGATGCAAGAGATCCTCCGTCTCAGCCACACCAACCCCCGGCGAACCACAGCGTACCATCCTCAGACTAATGGGCTGACGAAACGCCTAAACAAGACCATCGCCGACGTGGCGTCGATGTACGTTGACTTTTAACACAAGACGTGAAACGAGGTCCTTTTATGTCACGTTCGCCTACAACACAGCTGTTCGAAAAAGCACTGGTGTTTCACCATATGCAGCTGGTGCATGGTCGCAAGGTGACCACAATGCTTAACATCATGCTAGCTCACGAGCCAGATGGCGACGGAAGTGACGATACGCAGGGTGTGGCGCAACGAGCAGAAGTCCGCCAGCTCGCCCAAGTCCGGATTCAAGACCAGCAAAGCGTGTCGACTCTAGCCGCTACAACCTGCGCCGTCTGGACGTTTACCTCCAGCCCGGAAACCGGGTGTGAGTGGGGACACCGATACGACATCGTGGCCTCAGTGAGAAGCTTTTAAAGCTCTACTTTGGACCATACAAGGTCCTTCAACGGCTGGGAGATCTCAACTACTAGCTGGTGCCATACGGAACGCACGCATTATCGCGACGCCGACCGCGATCCGCAGTGGTTCATGTCGTTCGACCCAAGCGAATCTACACTCGATAGGGCTGTAGACTTTATGTGTTCCAAATTACTCTTTAGTTTACCGTTCTTCTGTATTTGTTTTGTGTTGCATCGGGGCAATGTACATTTTCAAAGGGGTATAATGCCGCGCGCACAGCTGGCCAAGTAGGCTGCGCGCCCGTGGCCGAAGGGTTAGCGTGCTTGGCTCCCACGCACAAAGCTGAGGTCCGATGCCTTGCCGCGGACACGCCTTTTTTTTTTTTGTACATGTCGCGTTCTGGTAAATCCGAGAACCCTATCACTTATTCGAGGTTAGAATGTTCTAGGCGTCGGACCTTCTACGCCGATTGCTCCAGGCGTGTACATAAGGGGCTCCACATGGCGAGCCGCAGTCAGATTCGCCCCAGCGCTCAATTCTGCTGTTCCGCTGACATCGACCCTGAGACCTTCTTCTGTTTTGTTTTGGGGCATAAGTTCATTCCATTAAACGTTCAGTTTCTCCAGTTAACTCGCCGCCTAATCATTTTTATTCGTGACAATATCAGAATTGCACGAATAATGTTTTACTTTTCATGAAACAAATGACGTTGGGTCGTTCTTTAGTGCTTTTCACAATGAGATTATCCACTATCTAGATTTTTCTGAAATTGATCAGAGTTCCCTTTAGTGTGAGTCCTAGAGCCCGCCAACACAAGTTCCTCGACTGGCAGGTTCCCTATCGATGCATCGACAATCTTGCAAAAGGTTATTGCAGTGTAGGTCCGTCTAACGAGTGGCCGCCTGCTCAGTACTATGCTAGAGATTATTCAGTTTTATTCCTAAAAATCTGCACTTCGTCGCTAAGTAGCTTTAGGCGCTTTGTGTTGTAGAAAAATATAGTAACGAAAACTCGAAGTTTGATTTTTTGTTTCTATGATTGAAGGGGCCGAAAGCAAGATGATGAAATGAGTTTTTTTAATACACTGTTTATGCAAAAAAACGCATTCTGGTTTAAAGAAAAAACAACTTCGTGTTTCGGTAATAACGCCGTGCTATTATTACGTTACTACCCCTACACGATAGTGGCGTTAGTCCGTAGAAATGTGTTTGAAAATTTTTCTAGCCAAACCTTCTGCGCCAGGCAATCTTATCAAGCACGAAGCTTTTATACAGATCATATTTTCCACGCGCCTGGGCGTTTGTGCACTGAGCAAACTACTCGAAATGTTGAACTAAAAATACATACATATGCACATATGCATCTTGAAAATTAAGTTCACGCGATGCACTGTGCTGTCGTAACAATACTTTCGAAGGGAGATCAAAAACGAATTTATAATGTTCAAATAAACTTTTGATTTTACTTTTTAAGCGGACACAAACCAAAAACGCAAAACTTGGCATTCCATAGCAGATAGGATTATCGTTATTTCTACTTACCCATGCCAACAAAAGTGCGAACATGAACATGGAGCCTTTCCTGTAGCCGAAGGTGTCCACCATGTATCCACCTACAGGCGGCGATATCAGGCCCCTTAAAAATACAAGAATGCGCTTTAAAGTAACCATATACCTTTCCATAGAAACGTATGAAGGCGCTTTTATTGCTGTGTTTGTGCGTTATACGCGCCGACTTTCTGGCTTGCCGTAATAGACCGATTTCCCCAACCAGTTTGGTTAATCCACCGCCGCCACAATGCGTCGAGAAAACTTTAAACTTTCTGCACGTGCAATGTCAACCTTGCTGGAGCTCTGTGCGCGCAGAGCCCGAGACGGCACTAGCCGTCTCGGGCACTGGCGCCTGCCTCCTGCGAACTAAAGCATAGCTTCCTCTATAGGAGGTATTAACTGTATTTGTGGGTGCTGTTTAGAGCGCATGCTCAGAACGAGCTCACATTAATAGCCTGCTAAGACCGGCAACCTTGATGGTGCTAAATGCACGCTCCAAAAGGACTGCGGAAGCTCGCCGTCAGCACGCGCTCAGCAGCAGCGCACACGGATATGGCCGCGAATGAATACTCTCTATAGACCTTTCCAATGTTTACAAATCCACAGCTCAGCGTACGATCTCCACAGCACAGCACGCGCGTGTGCGTCGCTTCGGAAAGCGAGCAAATCGCGCGCGATACGCACGAACATTGAAAATGAAACCGGCCAGCAGCCCTTTTCTGGAAAGGTCTATACTCATAAATCCTGACAGATCGCCATGAGACACGGCCGCCGAAAGTGAAAAGGTAGAGCGGCAGACAAGGGACATGTAACGGGCGCCCCGCTGTGGCGAGACGCAGAGACACACTTGTCCCGAGCGATGGAATACCCGCTCGTGCTTCTCGCGTTCCTCGGGCTACCGCTTCTTTTCTCGTCAGGTTTGATAACCACGTTTCAGGTCCTTGCCGCTGCAAAAGCTGCGCGCTGACTACAGGCTCCCCAAGAAATGCTCTGTGCTGCGAGATCCTCGTGCTCCATATCTGCGACCGGGCAGCCTATGGCTCCGTCATCGAACTGCGAGGCTTTGTGAGTATAAAGGAGGCTATGACTAAAGTTATGGCGGCTTCCCGCGTGCGCCCAAGGTTTAGTGAAATCGGTCTATTGCGAGCGAGCGCTGGCTGGACTGTGATTTAGCACATGTGGACTGTGATTTTTGTCAACAGTAGAAACGTGCATTGGCAGAAAGAGAACTATAAACGCGAACGAAGAAAAAAGATAGTGCTTTTGTGCCTTTTTTTTTTCATAGACAAGTCTCAGGTTTTAAATATTGTAGAAACCTTACCATACTGGGATTTAAAGAGCTTTTTGTTTCCTCAGCATAAAAGTTTTATTTTGTGAGGCCGTCTAAACGTTAATGGCATAATATTTTTAATATCGGCCATGTCAATAACTAATTAGTGATTACCCATCATTCCGCTGGGAGGACCAAGTTTATTAAGAAATACAAAAATAACGGCAATGATTACAGGGCTCATAAGTTTGGATGAGCTTTGGGATGCATGCTAAGAGGTGGTTGTATTCCGAAGAAGTAAATCAAAACAAAGCCGTCAGTGGTTTCGCGTATTGAATTTTTTCTTGCACCCGCTTCACTTCAATAGATTTAGCCCTTCAAGTTAAAAATTGTGTATCGAAATGATGCTAAAGTGTTACAAGATCAATACTCAATAAGTATTTTTTTTATTTCTATTATGTTTGTTTGCCTTTTACTGAAAGCAAAACAAATAATAACACAGAAGAAAATAATCTTAGGTCCAAGTGATATAGTCTTTTCCGCTCGCAGTACTAGATTGTATTAGTGATGAAAGCTAGTATTAGCGAGTGTTTTTTTTATTGTTTATAAAATAATGATATCTGAGTATGTTGAGTGCACTTATTTGGGGCCCTAGCTGGCGAAGAAATTTAGTCCTTACAAAGACTGGACGTCTTGTTAGAAGCCATATGATGTCATAGATAAAATGAAGACTAGGAGCGAAATATCGTTACTATTTTCTCTTTTTTAAGTGAAAGCTAATAAACCCCTTCTATATTTGCGTCTGGCCACTTTGATATCTATTCTAACCTGAAGAATGGCATATGTGTCGTGCTAATGACCGCCTCGTGGTTTCTGATGATGAAAGAAGTTGAAGCTTCTCGAAGCGGATGATGGGATGACTATATATTCGAGGCGTTAGTACAATGCGACGCAGGAATGGAATACAAGACCTGCGTAAGCGCTCATTTATAGCTGTGGTCCAGTCAATGTTGGCGGCCCATAATCCGTTTTACAGCCCTTTGACGTATAACATTTTATCGCGGCTACAGTGTGGGTCGGTGCTTCGTCCTTACCGGTTGTATATTTGTCGCAATCGCAACTGAGATATCCAGAAAGGATTGTAAGGTGAAAACACACGTTCGGACTTGCTGATGACTAGCGGAAGTGATGGTGCCTACCAAAATACTACAGACTGCAATTTGATTATCACCATTAGTACGGTAAGTGGTAAACTGCTATTTGAGCAACCAGATGGCACTGAATTTCGAGAACGGTCTAGGCTTGCTGGGTAATTGTTTCAAGTGATAACAAAAATAACAATTCTAGCTTAATGTTTTATGGCCATTATGCTGAAAGACAGAGATGTTAAATTTAGAATTTAACCTAATTATTGTGACCTTACCCAATGACGAGAAATCCGAAAACTGTTGACGAAACAAATCCAGTTGTTTGAACATCGTCTCTATATCCTTGCTCCCTAAAGAAAAAAATACTAGATATTACATTTTATTCCAAGGCGCTTAACTTTGAGAAATATTTATATTAGGATCAACAAAATGGGGCTATATTCGCCTGACGAAACCCCATTTTCCTCTAGGTACCACAGTCAAAACCAAAATGGGAAATGAGCACTTAAAATGAATGCATCATAAGGATTGAACAATAGTTATTTTTTTATTCTGTTTTTAACGTATGCCTGAAGGGATATACTAAATGTGTCTTAAAGGTCCCATTTGTGCAGCGTGTAGCAGTGCAAAATGCACGTTTGTGTAGACCGACAAAATATAAAAATACAATACTTTGCATTTCATCATTTTGAAAAAGAAAATTTACGCGAATTCAAAAACTCGTCTCTTTATGTAATATCAGAATATGAGGACCAAACTAACATACGGCATTTAAAATGCCATCTATTTAATTTCGCAGCTGCTTAATAAGCCACTGATGTTGTGGCTAAGACTTTAAAACCGTCCGTAGTCTGCAATATTTAACGCGCATCAGAGCAAGCAACAGTATTACCCCATTATTTTGCCTTCTACGTCTCATTGAGCATTGACAAATATTACAAGATCACAAACAAAAAGGGTAGAGACCAATAAATAGTTGAGCGCTTACCACTATAATTATCTTTTTTGCTATTACCTCGCCGCGTTAGAGCCGAATTGGCTCCACTAACACGAAGCGTAGCACATTTAATATTAATATATGCGCCATTAAAGTTGCACTGAGGTTGTTTTTTTTTTTTTTTAAAGTAAACTTTAAAGTTTCTATTCATTTATGATTCGTGTGTTTTAAATAGGCAGTTGAAACCCGATTTAATATATACAATAGAGACAAAATGACATTAAAAATAAAACCAATTTTGCGAGTGTGAAAAAATTAGTTGACTTTTACGTCTTCAGTAGGGCCCTAAAAGTTTAAAAATACAGTTTTTAGTAATATTTCCACTGCACCATATACAGAAGGCTCTACATTAGGTAATTTATATTGCATCAGTGTTAGAACTTGCCATAATATTGCTGAACACTCATTAAGTTTACTTTGACAAGCTAGATGGTCGATTTACGTAGGGTTTCATTCATACATTGTATACTTAAGGACGTTGGAAAATGAACAGATGAATTGTCCCGCCGTGCCAAGTCCTATGAGCACAATTGATGCGCACACTGAAAACAGGCTCCTAGAAAGAAAGAAGCAAACAAAAGTAAGAATAGTATGCAAAGGGTTTTAATTTTGCTGCTACAATACACCGAGAGACTGTGGTTTCCAAGGCTTCGTACCGATTTTAGGCTATAGTCGGAAGATTTCTAAATTTCGACCGGCTGGTCAGATCCAGCCATACATGGGTAAATTACTTTCAAAATGTAATTTAATTACAATTACAATTACTTAGCCCCCAAAGTAGTTTAACTACAATTACAATTACTACTACGCGAAAGTAGTTCATTGCAATTACAAATTACTTTTTAAAAGTAATGCAATTACTTTACAATTACTTATTTCTGAGAGTTACCCACCTTGGGCCATATAACTGTAAACGAGTTATATGGCCGCTGTATAAATGTCACGCATTGTACTTTTCTTTTATGAAATTTGTTAAATGGATTATAGAACTTAATATTTTGGAGTAATGAACTTCTGATTTCTTATATTCTCAAAAAATAAAAATAAATGGCGACAAAATTCACAGGTGCGAGGTGAATCTCTTTAGAGCTTGTGCAAATGGTATCCAAGTCAAACCAACAAAAAATAAACTTAAAATAATACAAGGAAACAAATATGCGACAGTACTGGTATCATAAAACTCGGTGATTCGCTGCCTCTCCCTGTCTGTGGACTTGTAACATGTCGGATGTGGGTAACCGTAGCACGCGAACTGCGGTCGCTTCCACAAAACTAGTGTCACAATAGCAGCAACTCTCTTGCCAGGGATTCTGGGTTAATTCAGTGCACGGTAACACCAAAAAAAAAAAAAGCTCCTGAGATATATAATAAATTTAGGATCGTCATGTCAGGCGAAGAAGCAAAGAAGCAGCAGGTCTAATTAACACGACTCACCCTGCCTTACTTCCAACTGTTGTTGCTAAACTGCGCTTCTTCGCCTCGATATTAGAGTTGCACGACCCTCTGTTAGTGGTACCAACATACGAGATAGAGGAGAAAGACGTGAAAACTCATAAAGAAAAGAGAATAATTACATGAACAAAAAAGTCCCCAAACTTGACTGAAATATGTAAGCGAATATGCTAGCGGCGAAGACGCGTAAGGAAAACTTCGAACCTCCCCGCCTCGACCGGATGATGTGATCGGAGCCAACCAGCTCGACTTCGACCCGCATACCCCCGTGTGGGAATGAGAAATAAGAAAGACCGGCCCCTAGAAACAGGAGCAACAGGAAGCGAACGAGACGAAGAGTCAGATTCAACTACGACAGGAACGAAAACGGACGCGAATGAAGCCCTCATTTATCAAATTATTTCTGAAATTCTTCATTAAATCGTCTTGCAGTCTAAAAAATCCTTCACTCCGTTCTATCCCAGCCTCCCTTTTCCCTTTTTTTGAGCAGGTTGGGAGACTCTCTCTTTTATTGCTTCGGTTATGCTCTCGTCGCCGTGGCCAGGGGGGAAAAGCGCCACCGCCGCAAAATCTTGCAAAAGTAATTGTAATTGTGCCTGAAATTTAGCAATTACTGATGCTAGAAAGTAATTAAATTACAATTACAATTCCTTTCAGCCAAAAGTAATTATTACAATTACAAATTACTAGGAAAAGTAATTAAATTACAGTAATTTAATTACTGTAATTGAATTACTACCCAAGTATGGATCCAGCCCACGGAGGCCTTCCGACAGGCCCGCGGCTGGGCGCGGTCCTTGCAGTGACGCCCGGCATAAGGCCCACTTTCAACAGGCCCGTTGCTACCGGCACAAAAATAAGAGGGTGCCAAAAAAAAAAAAAGAAAACGGAATTGGGATGTTTACCGAACGCTTCGTATCCGTTTTGGTTTACTATCCCGCTGATAGTTTTGTATCTCACATATTGCACATACTCATCATCGACATCATCATTTTTAGTCCCCTAATTGTGTGTCCGTGTAATTATGTCAATATGATTTCGCTTGTTCCTAGGTTGTAGGTTTTGCGTATTCTTATACTCATTCCTACCATTTTCAATAGTCATCTGCCATTTACAAATATGGCCACATTTCTAACTGCCTTGATTTATGTTCGGTGAGGTTTCTGGGCTGCGATTATTATTATATGTCATAATTAACTAAATATTCAAGTATTCTATATACTAAACTGTATTACCAGCAAGCCATGTCATCAGCATGTAAGTTGTTTATTATTACACCTCGGATAATTTGCTTAAAAACTATTTTAGTATGCTATGGCTTGTTATGTTCAAATTATCTTGTGTATTTATATAGTGCTTGTGGAATTTTCGCTTGATTATTTTGTAGCCGTTGGAGCTGCGACACACACCTAATTCGGCTCATCTGCCATTAAGTTTGGAGCCCCCTGGGTTAGTGTAATAACACCCATTGCGATTTTGCTTCAACTTCGTATCAGTTTTGTATTAACAAAATTCAACTTTACACTATCCGCGCCGCAAAAAAACAAAAAAATGTTTTGCTGCCACAATATGATGTCGTGCTGGATCATAAACCAAACACAAAAGACTCTTAATTAACCACGTCATCTATGCATACTTCAGATAGAAAGACGCGTATAATTTCACCATTGTAGAAAGTTGTAAATTATTTAGTGAAGAAAACGTTTCCAACAAAGTAAAGAGTTTTAGGTAGATTGCTTCAGGTCATATATTGTGCTTAAGCATACTTTTAGGTGTAGAGTACAGGTCTTGTAAAGTTTGTTTCTAATTATCACCAGCTTGAGAGTTGATGACCTGAACAACACAATGTCCTTGTTCGATGAACTTTTGGTGACAGCGAAATCGACGGCACCTAACGGCTAGTACAGGAAGCTGTTGCGGCAGGTTCGCTCACCAGCCTTCTCGAGCGAATCAAATATTAACAGCGCCTGGAGGCCTAAAGACGAAGCCTTGAAAGTAGGTTTGAAAAAACGAGGTGAAAATTGTCAATAGCCGGTAGGTATTCACTAGAGAAATGTGGCTTATTCTTGGATGCTTAGATGGAACCCAAGCCTCCACATTATCATTCTCGAATAGCCTAAAGTGTGTCTTCCATAGTGATTTTCCCAATGTTAACGACGCTGAAAAATCAAGAAAAGAATATCGATAGTGTAACAGAATAGCTTACTAAACTGCTTACTCGCATATCTGCTCATATTATTTTAAGATGAATTAAAATGCCACATCTCCTGTTTGTATTACTCTCGCCGAAATAACAGATAATGACTGAACTTTTTAGGTTTTGCTTTTTCACTTATTCGTTATGAATTCTTGCATAAATCTACTTATCGGAACCAGTCAATTTGTAAGTTATAAAATCAGATTAAAGCTAACACAACATATTATGCCCTTTATTCATTGGAATTTAAGAATAACCATATTCAGAAGAGTAGTATTACCGACTAGATGGACATACCAAATAAAATTATACAATTCGGCGACAATTATCACCGATATTCTAGTTCTTTTTTTTAATCTTCCCATCCTTGGGGAAAAAACAAGAAAAAAAACAAGGCACCACGATTAAGTGTCCCCGCATGGGAATTTGACCAACAAGTTCGAAATCTTCATATGTCACTGGAGGGAGCTCAAGCATTATTTTAATTATAGGCGGTTAAAAATAAAACTTCACACTTACGGCTCCGTGTCAAAAAAAGGTGCTGGTCCAATTATTAGATAGGCAATTACAGTCATCAGTTGACCACAGAAAGCAAAAAACGTTTCCATCTGAAACACCGCGTTGTCAGAATCATTACACATATCTTTGTGTTAGAAAAATTTCCTACTTTAAAGACTGCGTTCGGCGTTTCGTAGAAACAATTACGGACAAATGCGAAGTGACGAATAAAGTTAGGGTTCTTATGTTCTCACATACGTGTTATTGAAGGAGTCTTGTTTAGTAAAATGGAAAGTTTTATTTTTCTCTAGATGAGTTCAACCGGATTTACCTCTGGCAAGAAATGCATCAATTAGATGAAGTCAAGAGAAACAAAAGGTAAAGGTTCAGATAAGAGGTGTATATGTAATCATATGACAACGAAATCTAGAAACAAATATTGTCATGGTGTTAGTACTTGAGATAAACAATAATGGCCTTCGATTACAAAAGATACCATCGTATAAATAAACCTCTTATCAATGTAGGGCTGTCTTACCCTCAGTAGCTTTTCTTAATAGGTTAATCCAAATGGTAATGCATAACTTTCCTCGTATGCTTCAAGGTGGCTTATAAGGTTACCTTTCGAAATTGACTCTCGACCAAATCAAACACTCGGTAAGGGACATAACAGTTAAGAAATATTCAAGGCTGTCACCTCCAAATGGCAAAAGAGTCCCGCTGTTAGTGATCCGATCGCATAGCTGATGGCTGGGATCATAAAGACAGCCCCAAGCTCCATGCTGTTGAGGTTAAACTGAAAGTGAAGTCATCTTACATCTCAGGGTCAGATGCGTCCCAGTTAAAAATCAACTACGACCTGTACCTGTTCGGTATGCGGTGCTAAGGTTGGGTCGTTGAATCCGATGATTACCCAAGCCAGCATTAGTGTCACCATGTTTGCCAGAAATATTGGATTCAAAAGCAGCCGCCTCAATTCCAAATTTTGTTTAGGAGCTTGAGCGTCATGAGCTGTTGGGGGAACTATAAATAAAGAAAATATTACGTATGCCAACTACACTGTGAAGTGACATACGTAACCATGGTGTAAGATGAATCTAAGGCTACATTCTGTTGTAAACTTTTTCGCATTCTTGCATATATATATTTTACTAATAAGCAAAGAACACAGCTTATACAAATTTATTTTCGATAAAAATGCTCAGCACAAAATCAAATTTGCTCGAATTTGATATTCACTAAATATTAGTAATGTAAGCTTGAAAATCCACCATGAGAACTGTTTGGCGCCTTGAAATTCAAGCACATCGCTTTCACTTCGTAGATAGCTTTTATGCAATTATAATTTGAGAAACTGTATAGACTAACTGCTTGATTACTTTCTACTGAAGGTTTCTTTACGCATCAGTCTCTGAAGCACAAAATCGTGATGAACCTGGTAACAAGCAGGGTCTGTAACCAACGAGCTGAATCATTTACCAAATTCGATTGTTGCAAATGTAAACTAACCTGCGAGCCGTTCTTTCGGAGTCACTCCATTCCGTGCAATGAATGGAAAGGGCAGAATTTGGAGAATGCCGACTACAAAAAACGGCAGTGGAAAAGCCCACAGCTGCAGAGACAATGCACATCACTTTTAGTCGGTTTGCCAACACCATTTTAGATTGCAACTTTTTTTTGTTTCATAGTGCCAAGTAATAACCATTTCTTTTTAAATAAGTGTGGAAGTGTGGTTTATCTCCCTGAAACATGTTACTTATGAGCTCTCCGCTAACACTTTGTTTCTATGTTGAACGCCATATAGCATATATTCTACAAGGGCAAGATTGTCCAAGTTTTAAAATTTGGTGAGCAGAGTACCCTACCTGTACCTATGAATAGATCATAACATAGCTGTGTAGGAGCGTTTCACGGTGTTTGGTCATTTTAAATCTCTGATGACACCTATTAAAATCAAATTTCAATCGTCAAATGGAAATATATTATGTCAAAATAATGCCCAAAAAGGACGAAGTTATTCTTTTTTATTTTCAGAAACTTAATTTAAAAAGAAGGTCCGTGGGTTATTAACTTAAAATAAAACTTTAAAGTTTTTGCTTTACGTAACAAGGGGGCCACGACGACAAAGTAGCAAAGTCACTTACGCCAATCAGAGCCCCTCCTACGATTGGACCTACCATGAGCCCGACACCGAAAATGGCTTCCATTATCGCCTGTAAATACAAAGGACCGTTAAAATACCTTTTTGCAGGATTAAAGCCTGAATCTGAAGTTATGAGCAATTTAGTAAGACAAAACACTGCCACAGAAATGAAACCAGATCAAAAAGGTAGGAAAGCCGATAGCGTTGACTTAAAAAATATTCTCTATGGAGGAACTACCACACCGACATGGACTTGTCATTGAAATGCCAAAGGGAATTTAAAGACAACTTTTTACCTCAGTTTGATCATTAATACGGTGCAATCACCAGCTTTTAAGTGTCCGTTTTAAGAAATTGGAACGTGTATATGTGGTCTTTACCGAGAAATATTCGCTTGCTTCAAATACAAGAAAATACCTAATAAGAGCAGTGAGGTTTTTAATCTTCGAATTTAAAACATTGCAATCCGTAAGTGCATATTACTCGCTGAAGGTATTAAACTTTTATTCCTGATTTTTATTGGGATATCGGCGAGGATAATGAAAAAAAAAACATGAAGGAGAACAATTTTGATTTATTAATTTCCTAAGAAATAATCGAGCAATTGATGTAAATTAATCGCTCATTTCACCTTGAAATAATTTTACATCCCTAGAAATATCTTCCTCGGGCTAACAGTGCCGCGTTATACCGCTTAGAGTATTTTGAATCACACTCGTAACCAGTTCGAAAAATTCGAATGAACAAAATCGGACAAAGTATATATATTAACTTTGAGACAGTTAATTTCAGCGTGCTAGATGTCATTTATAAAATAATATCTGGCCCAAAAAAAAATTTCGATAGCATACTCACGATGAAATTTCCTTTCTTTGTTGAGTATAATAATGTTGCAGCTGCATACATTGTTATGTTCTGGATGATTATCGAGAATCCTCCAATTAGCATTGCTAGTATTGACAGACACAAAAACATCTCCGCCGGTATCCAATAAAGTGTCCTGAAGACCAGAAATATTTAGTTCGCAATTAATGTCATGACAGTTGAAACTATGTGCACATTCCAACGAATGCCACCGTGCTGGCAGCATTGTAGTGACGTTTTATGATATGAAGCATGCTAGGGGGCGGTAACGAAAAGCGGCTGACGCAGCTTAGTCGTACTCGCTGCTCGTTTACCATGTGTTATCTGTCGGTCGCTAGGAAAAAGAAGCACTACTTACTATGTATTTATATGTTTGTCTATTTGAGCTGACTGATCTTAAGATTAGGTAGGTTTCTCTTTTAGTGTCCTGACGTTTTAGGGAACACGAGCATTTCACCAAACATTCGTAAGATTAAACCTAGTAAAAGAGCTGTGCCACCTATTAGATACGAAGGTAACGCTTTCCAATACGCAGATTTATTCTCAAGCTGGTTTTTCCTTGTTACAAAAATGTAGAGAAACAAACTAATCGAAGTTTATCTTATTCTATTAAATAACAACTATTTTGACTGCCGTAATTGCGTGTCCTGAGATAATCATGGCGAATCGCCGAAGGAAATATCGCACAAGACGGAATATTTCAATCCCTAATGTTCTTCGCGTTAGGTATACAAACAATTTACTTTATCAACTATACATATAGCCCCCAATTTATACCCTGTGACATCGCATATGATGGCATTGTTATTAGAGATAGTAGTTTTATTTTACATTTTCTTGTGGACAGTAAACTATGCGATTCCATATTTATTGAAATGTCTTTCTTAGATAAATTGATTAGGCGATGTGAAATATTATACTTTTTTAAACAAAGTGTAACTGTATTGTTCTTCTATCTATCAAAAGTCTCGTTAAGAAATACCGAAGTTAGTGCTGTTATTTTTTTTATATCAGTGGCACTGCCACCTCAGTTCTTTATTTTTATATTAAATAATATATCTGCTTATTGTACAGTCTCTGACAGGTTAAAAAAGACGGAATGTGGAGAATCCTGAGCACAGTATGGTCGCTTCTAAATTTCACGGAGATTCGAATTACAGAGATTTGAAAAACAAAAATACGTATCTTCTATCTTCGTAACTTTTAATGTGATATCAATGATAAGCGTGATGATATTAATCCACGTCTGGCCTTTTTGAAGCTTTCAGTGACTTCCTTTTTGTAGCCCTTCAGTTGCCTGCGGCATGTATACAATTAACGGTAATAATGAAAAAATAATATTAAAATATTTCCATTTTTTAGGACCAAGCGACCTTCACGTATTGTTTTGTTCATTCGATGTTTGTCATCAATATTGCTTAACGCTATATAAATATAAACCACCTGAAGGAAAGTGCCGAGCATACGTACAGTAAAGTTCCGCAGGACACCTAAAGTTTTTTTTTTCTTCTTTTTTTTGGTATTTTATAGCGTTTTCAAGGTACATGTTTGTTCGGAAACTAAAATTTAAGTACCGAAGCAAACGTCTCAAACAAGCCTAACATTTGGACCTCTCTGAATAACGTTGCGAACGGCGTTGTAATCAGCTTCTTAATTTAACCTTAAAGTACCTTCCTCAGCTGTTGTATTTTTACGGCGTCACCTGGCGGCAAAAATATCTGGAACCGAAATCGTCAGAGGAAATCAATGCAGGTTACCCGAAAAGCCCACAATAGAGCAGCGTAAGGCATTGGCCAATGAGGTAGGTTCTAGTCGGCGAAAAACAGCTTATCTGCAAAACAAAGAAATAGGAACATAACAAAAAAACAAATGAAATTATAGCTGGTGAAGTGCCGGTAATCGCGGGCAAAGTAATACATTCAAAAGCCTGTTTGAGGACGGGTAAACGTTGTAATGCATTGGCCGTCACGTGAGGATAGCGGACGTTCACAAGAAGAACGTTGTGTCCCTTGTCTGGATAAGTTAAAAATAAAAAACACGCTGATAGATAAGTCATAACACTATTGAGAATGACCATATAAGGTGTTAAGAACTGGGGGAAGAACAGGCTGGGGACAGGGTTTGTGCTATAATAGGACGATGTTTTAATGAGACATTATTTGATGGAAGTGTTCGATGGTAAGTCTAATCATGTCTTTTCCACACGCGTCCCCATGTCCCCCCTTATAGCCGCGCTGACGTGACGCTGTTGCGTCACCGGTGGGATCCTGGTGTGATTGGAGGTGGCTGTTTGTGTCGATGAAAATGAGGTCCAACAGCGCCAGTCATTGGCCCGGGTTCATGTTTTCGCAGCAGCAGCTTCTCCCGATGTTAGAGAAAGAGGAAGATGAAGACCCTTTGACGTTAAAGCCCCTTTATCATGGGAAAAGTGGCGCCCTTCATTGTTGTGGAACTGCCCTAGACACATGCCGCGCGCCACTTCTGGGAAGAACATGGCGTCTAAAATCTAGCTCAGTGCTGCGCTGTGCCGCCATGATCTTCCCAAGGGCTTCACGTTGCACGTGACTCGTGCATCGGCGCACTTTGCGCTACATTTGAAACATGAAGGGGCTTCAGTTGACGTTGATTATTTCGGCTGATGTTCAAAAGCCTTGGTTCCGGGTCTTCAAGAGGGCCTCTGTCGAGCGATGGTGTTGCGGACCGTACCTGTAAGTACATCGTAATTTGAGCACGGCCTCGCCAGGGTGAGAAAGACAACTTTTCCGGAGGCAGCGTGGTCTCTTTCAGAAGTACGAGCTTCCAACTTGCTGATAAAAAGACCCCAGGGACGCCGCGTTTGACAAGCACCTTGAACAGACGAAGGAACAGAGACCGAGACAGCAGGGAACACAGACACCAGACTCGAACCCCAAAAAGCAGCTAAGCCTTCGTTCGGTGTGTTCCTGCTGTGCCCCTCACGCATTTTATTATCGAAAATATGTATTTTATATGATGCTGATATTTTAAGTATTATTAATAAAGTGTTCCGAAAGGACGGCGTTTTCTCATCGATAAGAAAATGCGATCGTCAGACAGAACCAAACCTAAAAGGGCAGCTCCGGTCAAAAAGAAAACCAAAAAAAATGACTGGTATCTCTTTAGTGGTACGAAATAGGATCACATCCGAAATATTACGTCAAAGTGAAGCCGAATAATCCTCTAACATTTATTTTAAAGATGCGACCAGCTGCGCTTCGTTTTTTCCACTATAAAATCCCACACGTTTTGCATTTTAATATTAAGGGTAGTTTTATATGTTTCTGAAATTTGATAAGGCTTTTTAGCAGCTCTTGGAATAAAAATTTCAAGTTCTCTAGCAAGCTCCATGAGCTCCTTTTTTCTTAGCTCGACAGACCCATCTCGACACTGAAGTAAGTCAAACGATACTATCATATTCTATCAGAACCCTATGTTACTTAACTTTTAAAACTACAAAAATTTGCACTTCAAAACTAACTCGACATAAAACCTGTGCTCTTCGCGTTTTATGGCACACTGCACTCAAGATACCTTTTTCAAATAACCACAGAAAGTTTTCCCAGAAACTTCTTCTGATGTTGAGCTAGCCTTTGGCTCAGAGGAATCCAAAGGGAAACTCGCAACAGGGCAAAATAACGCACGAATGAAAAGTTATATTTAAATTTTCTTTGAACGCATGCCGGACTGCTTCTCAATCTAAGGGTTGTCACGGTAGCTAACAGGCTGCACGAAATTCGCCGCATGCGTGAAAACAATTTTCTCGAGAACTGGATCCTCTCCAGAACCAAATACAGTGAGTGGGTCGTCGAGAAGCGTTAAACCTCAATCAAACGACAAGCCTTTAAATTGAACTTCGCCTTGTGGGCGTTAAAACCTTTTCAAATTCCTAGAGGCAAGCACATCTTCGCCAACCTCGGAAGGATCATGAAAGCTCAGCGGCTCGTCGAAATTCGAGCCCCATTCTCGGAAACCTCGACCGCTTTATCTCTGCCTTACCGCCCGTCCCATCAGCCAGATGCCAGCGACGACGTTCCGATGCCCGAAAAGGACCAGGCATCATTGAAAGTTGAACCTCGAGCCAGTCTCAGGGCTCTCAGGGCAACGCCTCCTGTACTAAGGGCCCTATATTGCGCTTTTTGGACTCCCATGACGACTAGGGAGAAAGAAGTGACGTCAATAACGCAGCAAACGCAGATTGGATGTTGATTGGTGAGAGTCGCTGATGGCAAATTCCGCAGAAGAAAACAAAGAAAAAGTGAGCTTTGGTTTCTTCTGCGGAAATGCGTCACCAGCGACTCTCACCAATCAACATCCAGTCTGCGTTTGCAGCGTTGTTGACGTCATTTCCTTCTCCCTACTAGCTGTGGGACTGGGGCTCTAAAATGCGCAACATAAGGCCCTAAAGGGGTATTCACACGAGGGAGAAATCCCGGGGATTTCTCCCCGGCACGCGCGCATCACGAGATGAAAACGCGAGACTTTCGCACATCGCAAAGCCTGACGTTTTCGTCGTGGGATGCGCGTGCCGGGGAGAAATCCCCGGGATTTCTCCCTCGTGTGAATACCCCTTAAGATGCCTGTCAGAGGGCTCGCTCTCCCATTGCGGCCGGTCTGCCATCGTGCTGTAGTCAAACGCCACGCGGTGGCGCTCGCCTCTGACACTATTTTTTCGGCTAGGCACGAGCATGGCTCGGAACCGCCCGGTTCAAAAGAAACGACTAGAGCATCACCATCATCATCACCATCAACTCGCGCTAGGCGCTCGGCCATCTCGGTATGGTGCCTGGAACGCGTCTCCGACTGGTGCGTTTACCGCGGCCAAAAAAGTGGTTCCTCGATTTCCGCCTGATGACGTCATAGAAGTGTCATGCTGTCGCCGGTCGCGACCCTGGCGGCGTCCCGACAGTTGTGGAGAAATGGCAGACGCCTGTTCTGCAGCAGGTCGCTCTCCACTGTGAAAGTTCACGGAAGCTAGTGCAGCCGGAAGTTGGGACGCCTGGGACGCCCTGACGACAGCAACACTCGAGTTCGCTCGTGCTTTTCGCCAGCATTTCTGCGGCGAACCGCCAGGATCGTGTCAGGCAACAGCATGATACTCCGGCTTCTGTGACGTCATTTGTTGCCACTTGGGGACCACTTTTGATGTATGGGTGGGATAGGACGCTAAACACACCAGTCGAAGACGCGATCCAGGCACCATAATCTCGGTGCGGCTGGCGCGGCCGGCCGCTCGCAACTGAGCGCTGATTTTATTTAATTTAGCATAAATTTTAATTTTAGTTTTTGGTTTACGGTTTAGCTACCTATTGAGAGAAAAAATATCACATTATTCTCCATGGCCATAGTTCATCATACTTAAAGAAGACGAAGACGGAAGTGTCATTATCCCGAAGAGTTGTTATTCAGCGCTGCGTAACTGTGTCTGCTTTTGTGTGCGTGGACTTGAATAACTGTTTTTCGGGTGTGCTGTTCCCCCTGTACAACACAACATCATTCATAGCCTTTGCGGCGCCAAGGGAAGCAGATGCAACTGGCTCGTTTTGCGCTGTTGATGCTAGCGATGACACTGCGCTATTCGATTTGAACCACTATTTGCACACCCCTACTGGTATCACAATAGCAGACGTCAAATCTCCCGCGGTGTCACGGCCGCAATAGTGTCAGTTGGCAGCGCCCCTCGCGGTCGTTTCGGTGAGGCGGAGGAGGAAAGAGGGAGAGGGTACGCCAGGACGGTCGCCGCTTTTATGACAGGCATCTTAGTACAGGATTAAAAGCTTAAAAGGCGCGAACAAACGGCGAAAAAAGACACACGTACGACACGGACAGGCGCCTTTTAACCTTTTCCTCCTGTTTGTTCGCGCCTTTTAACCTTTTAATCGATATGCACCAACTCGCCCCAACCAAAGTATTAGTAGAGGAGGCGTTGCTCAGGGGCGTTCGACGCCTGCGGACACATCTTCCTCGGCTGGAAATGTGGCTGCTGCGCTCATCCGTGTAAGGCAAAATCCCACCGCTGGTCACCAGTTGTTAAGGGCTGGGGGACAGGCAGGCTGGAGACCTGGTTTCGGCTATAAGATGATTATGTTTTAATTAGACGTGATTTGATGGGCGTTCAAGGGTAGTCTCATTCTGTCTCAACCGCGCGTGAAAAGTAATGGTCTTTCTTGTATGCTTAGACAGCATTGAAGTGTAGATAAGGTGTGAAATTTAGCCAGTGCAGTACCACCGCTAACCTGGCGCAGTAGTGAAACTCACGACGGCCAGGTGGGGGGGGGGGGGGGGGGGGGGGAGGGGGGAGGGGGGCCGAAGCCAGGAAGTTGTGCAACGCAAGCTTTCGCTCCACGCTCCGAGCTGAGAGGCGTAAGCCCTCTAAACCACCGATTCTCCTTGTCGCGTGTGTCCGCGAGCCCCCTTAAGTATATCCGCGGTTACGCGACGATATTGCGTCACCGGCTCGATCCTGCTGTTATTGAAGGTGGCTGTCGGCATCCATGAAAATGAAATCCAACAGCCCCTGTCATTGGCCCCGGACGTTTATGTCTTCCCAGCAGCAGCTTCTTTAGATGTTAACGAAAAAAGAAGACGAAGACCCACTGACGTTGGCTACTTGGGCAGGTGTTCAAAGGTTCCGTACCTTCGAGAGGGTCTCCGTCGAGTGACAGCGTTGCTGGCCATCCCACTAAGTGCACCATACTTGGAGCATGACCTCGTCGGGGTTAAAAACATAAGAAAGGGTCACAGATTTCAACCTATCTATATGCTGATTAAACATTCTTCTTTGTTCACCGCCGTAGACCTTCCGATAATCACCATCTGCGCACTTCCATCGTTAGCTATAGTCATTTCCAAAAATTGCTTTCTGCGCGCTGCCATGTTTATCTGCTGCGCTGTGGAACAGCATCTGAGCACTGTTGTACGGTGCATCAGACCCTGCGAATCCGTCCACAGCTGAGTGACTCAGCATTTTTGACCCGGGTGATAAGCGATGGAAAAGTGTATACTGGGCTGTAGAACGGGGGTTCTGAGCATGCGCAGCGGCTCTCTTACTTGAAATAAAAGAGGACGCGCATGTCTCCAAGGCATTTTTGGACTCGGCATTTTTCGCTTGGGTGATAAGCGCTGGAAAGGTTTTTACTTCGTTGCCACCTACGTTCGACAGCAGCCGACACTACAATCAGATGGAATCAATCGAGCAACGTCAGTCGAGCAACGTCATGGCGCTCATCGTCAAGTTGCGCTTTGTGTGACTGGTTTAGCCAGTGATAGTAAACTCAGCGACAACGAGCGCCATGACGATGGACTTGCGGGCGCTGCTTCATTGGCTACTTCGCATCGTAGCGTTGTCTGCAACGTCGATGCGAAGTAGCCAACGCAATGTGAAGCTGAGTATAGCTCATCAACTACAAGACGTGGCTGATTGTGATGACACTAACGCTTCGTGATTTGTTTCTTGGCATTCTTATTCATTCTTTTTTTTTTTCATTTTGAGTGGACCTCAAACAGCATGACGTTTTTTTAGTGGTGCACTTTCTAGATTATTATGTAACAGGAGAAAAAAAATAGGAATAGGAAGAAAAACTTTAGAACAACACGATATAATAAATCAAAAGTTCAAAATCGACGCGCGTTGTCAAAATTATCAACGCTATACTTTTCGCAGCAATATGTTCGCATTTGTTATACGTTAATTGTAGCCGTGTGATATGTTCTGCTTTATGCAAATCAGAAGAATAAAGCATTGAATGCGATCTGCAAGAAATCTGAGGAACGCGTAAGTATGCACCTAAGCGATACAGATAAATCAATTATTTTATTAACGACCTCGTGCACAAATTTCAGATCATGTCTCATTTTTCTGTTATGCAATGTAATCGGTTTCATAAGTCTTCATATTTTTTCATAACTGCAGTAATAATCAAAATAAATGTAGCGATCATAAAGTACATGAAATAACTTTCTTTGAAAACGCTCGGTGATACATAAATTTTTAACTCCAATACTATTCCACACCACCGAGGCGTGTTCACTGCGACTACGCACGAGGGAGAAAACAAACGTAAAAAGCAAAATGAATTTAAAAAATTACTAGTTACACATGCAAAAGCTCCCAAGACTTTAAAAGATGGATTTGTTATAGCAATGACATGGTGATTAAAATTAAATTCAGGATCCATATATACTCCCAGATTGGTAATGACAGAAACACGAGGAATAACGTTGTCGTCTAACGTATAAGAAAAGCTCACAGTATCAGGCTTTTTCAAAAATGATGTTCTTTTTGTCTTCGCCTCATTCAAAACAAGGCTACTCAGAGAAACACCACACTGAAATTGAATTTGCATCACGCTATAGACGCTCACAGTCCTTTACCTGCTTCGCTGAAGCTGTCGATGACTACGCTAATTGAGATTCCTTAATCGGCGTACGAAATAAAAGGATAGGTGTATGATTAAATCAAAAACTGTTAAAAAAAAAGGTGTGGGCAATTATGCTATATTAAATTACAGGAACCAGCATTTTGTAACAAAACCAATTTTCGATAACTTTCTATTCTGTATGTCCAAGGTTTCGGGTGTTTGTTCTGCATCTTTAGCGTGTACACACACCACAAAACTAAGTAAGTACATATTTCGGTACTGGATACGATTTACCAAAAAAGCATCTAATTTATAATAAAAAAAAATAATCAAATGATACCGGCATGACCGTTTTTCTACTCTTTTGTGTTTGGATGTGTATAAAACAGTCAGCAAGTTTCTTACATTTGTATTTACACCATGTATATATTTCGAATAACAATGAAAACGTCACTGGAAAAGCGAGACGCTGTTAACTGCAATCGTAAGCTTGTGCTCACCATTTTATTCATAGAGACAGATCCCATGAACATTCCAATTTTCATTGCAGAAAAAACAAAGCCGCTTTCCCAGGTTGCCAGACCCCGAGCAGTTGCCTGGAAAAACACAATCACAAATTAAAGACTCGGAGGTAACTGCGCGCCGGAAAGACAGTGTGTTGTTTTTCTTTGCGCTGTTTTAGTCACCACACAATGTTCAGAGTTTACATAGATGCAATTAAATGAAACTCATTCTTTATTTTTCTTGCATAACGAATAATGATCGGTTAGATTTACTACCCCGTGAGAAGAAAACGCACTGGAGCATATGGTATAGTTTGTTGAAGCGTGAAATACTTACAAAAGCCAACTCTCTGTTAAGGAGGATACTGTAAAACCCTCTGTTTTGAGGGCCCCAGTTTTGTGGCAAATTCGGCAGAAGGGCTGTATTTGCGACCATCAAATTTCGCGCACACTAAAGGCTGGAATTCAGCTCTCAACAATTAAAAGAATTGCGTGTTCTTAAAGTTTGAGAGTTTTGAAAATGCGCAAAGTTGGCGAAGATGAGGGGCTCCCGAACACTACAGCTTTAACATTACACACTGAAAAAATCCTAGAGCGTCTACTTTCCCGCAAAGCGTTCAGGAGAGCGAATCGCTACAATTTAAGAAGAAAGATCGTCGAATAACGAGATTAAAAACGTTTCGATCTAAAAAGATAGCCAGACCTGTTGCACTGTGAATGATATAACTTCATGCGAAGTGCCGCAACGAAGGCCTTTAGTTTATATCTAAATATATTGCCACAAGCATGGACGAGAGGAAGCGCTACTCCGTATTTCTAGAAGATTCGCTTAAGCGTATCCCAAATTTTCGACACTCGAACGTTCTATGAAAAAGGTTCGAGATGCCGAGTATAATAGATAAGAAGGCCAACATGGGCCTTGGCGAGTCAGTCTCCGCCAGGGTGTAAGATAGACAGGTGGGGAAACGAGAGCCGAATGAGCGACCGGATTGTGTCCCCCTCGGGTTTCTCTTTTTCTGTGGCGCCATCTATCTGGAGCACCGCGAACTCTCACTCCGGGTGGGCGACCGGTGGCGACCGGCTAAACTGACGGAGATGATTTCTCGTGGATTTTCAATGAAGGAATGTCGTGCTCTCGGTTTATTTTGCGTACTCTCCCTTAAAGTTCCGTGCGAATTCGATTCCAATTTTTTTCCTCTCGCCGCAGCGCCATCGGGGGTACGCGCAAGCAGACGAGTACACAGTCCGGTCACGGCGCTGCGGTAGGGTTCTATGGGCCGTTTCCCCACCTGTCTATCTAACACCCTGGTCTCCGCCTAGTTTGGCGCTAGAACATTCTAGTTCGAATAATGAAAAAAACAGTTAGGGCGCAGGCGAGCTGGTGTAAGTTTACCATTTTTTAGACCACCTGAGACTGGGTGGAAGAAACACGACGACGTCTCAATGTTAGAGATGCAGAGTGTAGTATATAAGGAACCCAGTGTGGCCTTTGTGAAGTGACACTCGCGCTAGCCAGGTGTCACGTCGACACCCCGATGCTTGCTACTGCTTTCTCGACGCTCGTTCTTTCGTTCAGAAATGTCGCGCATTAAAAAAAGGATCGACAAGTGTAAGAATGAAATAAAGGCACAATCGGCGAACTTGTGCCAGAGGGAAGGACGAGAGTCGTGAAAGGAGCAGCGAGCGTAGGGGTGTCGGTGTTAGAGCTGGCTAGCGCTAGAGTAACTGACTCGGCAAGGCCACGTGGGGCTTCTTTTCTATTACACTCGGTACCTCGAAAATTCGGCCTAGCACGTTCGAGCGTCGAACTAGGGCGAGACTGAGTCGGCAATGCTACGTAGGTCTCCTTATCTAATACACACGTTACCTCAAACAGAAGGTCTAGAATGTTTGAGCGTCGAACATATGGGTAAGAGTAAAGCTAATCTTCTAGAAGTACAGAGTAGCATTCCCTCTCGGCCTTGCATGCGGCAATATTTTCAACCTCGTGATTCGCCAAACCCCCCAATAGATGGGAGCGATTTACTGAGAGAACTGTTTTGCATGAAATTAAACGCTCCAGATTTCTTAGATTCTATCTGCCCATCATTAGGGCAACACAGATTAATTGGCTGGGCCCAGGTTGTTTCAACGTAATCGTGGACACCGCTGGAAGGAAGCCATTTGCACTACTCTATATGTTATTAAAATAATATTGGCGGCTATGATTACGATTTGCCAGGGTTCCTATAGACCGGCACGCTGTTTACAAACAAACCCGCGTTTGCCCACACCAGGTGTGGGCACTGCGCGTGCGCAAAAGCCGAATTCGCGTGAGGTGAAGCGTCTGCGCATGCGCAGTGCCGTCGACAGCGCCACCGCAGCTGCGTGACGTCAGGGCCGCGTGTTGGTCTATAGATCAGCGGTGGCCAGGCTGGCCTGGCCTAAGAGCAGCAAAAGAAAAAAAAAGAACACACGCACACACACACTAAACTTCCAAGAGTTGCCTGGAAGAGGAAAGGCAGAAAAGAGTGGAAGAGGGGGGGGGGGGGGGGGGGGCTCCAGACGTTTTTATAGAACAAGAAATTAAACTTGAACTTCCAAGAGCAGCCTTGGGAGAGGAAAGGCAGAAAAGAGTGGAAAGGGGGGGGGGAGGTCTCCAGACGTTTTCCAAAAGCAAGAAATTAAACTTGCTCAGCTACTTTATATAATTTGTGTCAAAAACAATTTTGTTCTGCTGCTACAAAATAACAATGTAGCAGTAGCACAAGATTCTGAAGCCGCAACCTGTCTTCCAACTTAGAACGCGTTCCTTTTCTTTTATTGTGGAAGTGCTCGTATGACTGAGAGGGAAGCGTCGAAGACGGGGAGGGGGTAGGGAGGGCGTTAAGTTTATTGGGGAGACGCGAACCGCCCTTTATAATAATAATAATATAATCGTTTATTTTCACTCCAAAGGAGTGTGGAGAGCAGGGTAAAAAGCTGCAGTTGCAGCTTGACAGGCCCCTGCCCCCAGCACTTGACAATAGAGTACACAATAAAATTCAACTAAATAATCACTCAAAGCATAGCAGAACATTTAAAGTCTAACCGACGAAGAGGTAGAGTGACAATAATACAGACATAAACACACAAACATATATATATACCGGGTCAAGTAATAATCAAGTAATGATAATGCAAATATTATAACTGGTGAATCAGCATAAATAACACACAATACATGCAACACGCCATACATACACACATACATACATCACATACATGCCTACATACCTAGACAAGTAAAACATAAGGTGATGAAATTGCAGACATCATGATGCACAAAAAAAAACAAAAAAAAATATACAACAAGGTCACACAAGAAAAATACTACAGCGAGAAACCATATAAGCATAAAGAAAAATTCGAAAACGTCGTATCAGTAAAATATGAAATGGGACTTCAGGGACTGTATTGTTGATGTTTCGGGTGTAATGTTTTGTTTTGCGAGGTTGTTAAGGAGAACAGGCAAGGTAGAAAGTATAGATTGATATCCATACGAGGTTCTGACGGTTGGTATTTTGCCGTATTTCGGGCTGTCTTATATTATACGATGATATGTGTTTGATTCGATTAAATAGTTGTATCAGTGATGCGTTGTTTATTGTTACTGCATTTTTGTAAAGAGAAACTAGTTTGAAATCATGCATTTTTAACACATTTATAATATTTAATTCATTAAAATACTTACGAGTTGATGTAAACCATGGAACGTTAGTTATAATACGTAGAGCCCTTTTTTGTGCGAGTAACTTTAACATGTTCTGATTTGTAGTTGTTCCCCATATGACATGACAGTAAGTGAGAGTCGGCAGGAACAAAGAATTATATAGGAGTTTTTTTGTGTTTTGTGGCAAAATATGTCTAGGTTTATTCATCAAGCTATTAAGTTTGTTTAATTTCATGTCAACGTGGTTTATGTGTTGGTCCCACGTAAGATGTTCCGAGAAGAAAACACGCAGAGCTTTAATTTCCTGAACGAATTCAATATTATTTCCGCCCAAGCAAAGATTTGTAGACACACTTGCTATTTTATTTCTGGGTCTAAACAATAAGGCCTTTGTTTTATTAGCGTTAATTTTTAAGCAGTTCAAGTCGGCCCATATTTTTAAGGAAGAGAGAAAATTGTTAGCAGAAACTATAAGTTTATCGGGGTCAGTGCCTGTAAAAAAACAAGGTTATATCATCAGCCTATGCTATTCACTGTACATCGGTATTGATATTGAAAACGCGATTCCTATAAATAATAAATAAAAGGGGCCCCCAAATGCTGCCTTGTGGGACGCCTGATTTAATATCCTCATTAGATGATAGGAATGAATTATGAGATACGCACTGCTTACGGTTTAGGAGATACGATTTAATTAGTGATAACATTGTACCACGAACACCATACATGTCAAGCTTAGCAATTAAGATGTTATGATTCAAGTGGTCAAACGCCTTAGAAAGATCTATAAAAATGCCAAGTAAAGCCAGTTTTTTTTTCAAAAGCCTCAATAATTATCTCTTTCTGCTTTATGAGCGCCATCTCAGTCGACATATTTTTCCGGAAACCAAACTGTGAATTCGACAACAACATATACTTGTTAAAAAAGTTAATTAAGCGTGAATGAATGATTTTCTCAAGCCCCTTAGAAAATACAGGAAGAATAGAAATAGGCCTATAGTTGGACAGATTATTTATATCGCCTCCTTTATGAATCACGGTTACTTTAGCGGTTTGCATTCGTAAGGAAAGGTACCTGTTTCCAACACTAGATTAAATATGTATGTGAGTATAGGGGCAAGTAAATCTAATACGTATTTTATTGGCTTTATTTGTAAATCATTTATGTCACAAGATTTACTGTTTTTTAAGCTATGAAAGGTATTGACAACCTCGTTTTCGCTTGTGGGAAAAGAGAATAAGGAGTCACTTACACGAGCATGAGTGGTTATGTGATTTCCAGTCAACACAGTATTGCAAGCGGGGACCAAATTCACAAAGTAGTTATTAAAAGCACTGGCTAAACTCTCCCCATCGTAGTCTGTTCCATTCAGAATTATTTTTTGGATGGTCAACTCAGCAACTGGGTGCAAAACGTTTCTGAGTCGCTTCCACAAAATATCTCCCTGTATAGTTTCGTTAAACTGCTTATGATAGGAGTTCCTTCTTGCATGTTTTAACTCTGAATTTAATTTATTTCTGTAACGTTTATAATTTTCCAATGATTTTATGTCCTTTGTTCTAATAAAAGTGCTAAATATCTTGTTTTTGATATTTATTTTTTGCAGTAATTTCGCGGTAATCCACGGCTTACGGGATTTTTTTTATTTTTCTTTACTTTTTTTTACGGAAAATTTCGCTTACATATTTCGACAATGTTATCAATGAACTTGTTATATGCTGTGACCACCGTTTCCTCGTTCGAAATGTAGTTCCAGTCAACGCAACCAATATCTTCACGGAACTTATCTAGCGTAAAAGTAGTGATTAGTTGAAAAGAGGGACATAGTTCTGGTTTGTGTTGTTTCCTAACAATTTTGGTACAAGACAAAAAAATTGGAAAGTGATCACTAATGTCAGCAAGTATTGCCCCAGCGGTGATATGCGCCACATCACGATTTGTGATAAAAAGATCTATTCTTGTAGAGGAAGAGCATGTAACACGTGTCGGCATACTAAAGACGTTGTGAACAGACTATGCTTCTAACTAATTCATTAATTCTGCTCGTGAAGCTGAATAGGTCAATACATCAATATTAAAATCGCCACCTACATTTAAGATATATTTATTAACACAGGCAAAATCCACCAAAGTTTCAAAAAAGGTTATAAATCTGGAAAAACAGCATCCGGCGGACGATAAACAACACAATAGATGTTTGATTAATTTTTTATTGTAAGTGACTCGTAATCCACAGTTAGTACTGTAAATTTTGGTATCAACACCGAAGTTGTAGGAAACTGAACTAGTAAAGAAACTCCATCTCCTCTCTTATCTGTACGATTTAAAGCAAAATGTTGATAATGAGGGAGGTTGAAGTATGATGATTCTTCATTGTACTATGTTTCACTAAACATAATTACATCAAAGCTAACACCAACATGATTAAACAGCAGTTCAAGATCTTCAGTTTTGTTTTTCACTGAGCCAACATTTAAGTGGAACAAATTTAGGTATCTTTTTTGGTTAATTTATGCAAGTCAGCAGGGTCAACATATGTGCTAGGCATTTTGGGTTTTCCATATTCTTGTTTTGTTTTAGGCGCTTACAATCTTTGCCACATCATCGCTAGTTTGTATCTTGACAACAACCGTGTTCTCAGCCTTCTTTGCAAAGATTTGACCGTTCCTAACCCACACATATTTCCAATTCGATTCCTTTTTCCTTTGCGACGGTTTGTCCTAGTAGCCTCTTAAGTTCGGGGCACAGAAAGATCACAAGTACACTCGCAAAGAGCCGCATGCAGCTCGCGAGCGGCAGCTGGGTGACCCCTGCTATATATAACTTTTGCGAAGTACGTAATTTGACTTCCTTTCACCGTAACACCCAGAAAAGCTGTCTTCCAACAACTAATACGCAATGCCGATTATCACTGGAGTTGCGGGAGCAAGGCTTAGTTATTCGTGTCATTAGGTTATCTTTCTCCTCTGAGAAGGCACCTATGCAGAATTTTTCTTTTGTCATTTTGTCTCTTAAGAGCTGCGCGTTTTACTGCTGCTTGTCCCTGCATTTACGAAAACACTGCGGAATTCTGCAAAAAGAAGTGTGGGTGAATGTTTTGCTCCATTTTTGAATCATAAATAAATATTTATTTTTAGAGGTATTCGCGATACTTGCAGAGATTAATTGAGCGTTATGTTCTTATTGATCTTCATTGCGCCATACCCGCAAAATAGGTTTATGCGTTGAAGCTCGACATTTTTTATCATTCATTTTAATGATATGTTACACTATCTATGTAACGAAGTATTTATTGATTTTATTCGAGTAAAACAATGTTTCGTTTTCTTTTTTCTTTTGTTTTTCCGATTTTCGAAACTTTGCTTAACAACCTACGCGAACTGATTTAGAGTCATTTTTCTTAATATTATAAAAAGGTGAATGGCACTATTAATGAAGTATTTTTCTCTGGATGTTCCTGATGGTTGATGCTATTTGTGTACTGGTTCATACAGTATATTTTGATTAGTTATCTTCATGATGTCTCGATGTGAAGCAAGCAACGCACTTCTGTGCTGCTGAAATGACAAAAGAGTGCTTTAATCAAAATTAAACTGACGATTTGTTTGGAGAGCAGGGCAGGTTCTGTCAATGCAAATGTGTACAATAATTTAGTGTTAGGTTCCTTAGTCTTGGGTATGAAGTACGGTTGGCATTGTGACACAATATGTTACAAACCCAGAGGCATCGTTTGATTGTAGAAGCTAATCACTAACCGATCTTCTTCTTTGCACAGATTACCCTGGTTTTCCCCAAGTGAGAAAACGCTCAAGCAAAAGCGTCAGGTTAATTTCTCGTTCGATAGTCGTTTAGCTGTTTTAAATATGATTTTTTTTTTGTTCTTTGAACGCCACAGAAAGTGTGCAATTGATTCGCTGTTTGTTCCCTTTTGTTTCTTCTGGAAGGTATTAAAAAACTACTAAGCTGCCCTCCTCCCCGCCCCCCCCCCCCCCCCCCCCCAAACAATAAAAAAAGAAAACAAGAGGAAAGAAACGTTTATCTTTCCTTGGTTACAGTGCTCGCAGGGGAACTAATGCAATAATAAGAAGCAGCTGATTTAAATGTATATAAAAAGGAGACTGGTTTGCCAGCGCAATCCAAACGCGCGAAGATTCCTATAAAGTTGCAATGTGAAGGAAACATCTAAATCGCTATCTTTCATTGGCATTTTCTACGTTATAAAAATATATTTCCGGAAATATTGTTTCGCAGGACTTCCAGATTCACGAAAAGGATCTTACTGGATGTCGCATCTTCATTATATTATGAACTAGTCCACAAGATTCCCGCGAATAAAATTAAAAAAAAAAAGCTACACTGCTTTTTTTCTTTTTTCTTTCTTTTAGCAAAAACTATTTTATTTGGTTGGACGCCGGTTTACGCCCAAACATAACGCTAGCGGTACGGAGCAGGTGCCAAAATGTAAAAGCTTGCTGTTATCCGGTTAAAAAGCTATAAACGATTTTCGGAAACTCACAGTGAGAAGTTGGTGGTTGACGAGCCCCATGAATAGATGGAGATGAACGGCGTCGGACACCTGGAGCCGACCCAATTTTTCAACTGAAACTTTCCGAAAATTGCTTATAACTTTTTGAACAAGCTAAAGGCAAACTCTAGAAGTCTGGCCCATGTCCACACCACTAACGCCTTGTTTAAATGGATTCGGCGAAAATTCGCAAAAATGTTGTATTTTTATATAGCTCAAAACAACAAGATAATGTGGTGTTCGCTATTGATCTTATATAGCTCAAAACAACATAACAATATGGTGTTCCCTATTAATCTTTTTGCAGTAAAAGTTTTTACATATGCCAGCTGCTCATTTACGTATATAGAGCCACGACAAGTGCGTGAGCGTTCCATTATCGCAATTTTCGTGCTGTCAGGTTTGACAAAATGCTGCGGTTAAAAAAGCTCAGTACCTGAGTTACATAGCATTTCCTCTGCATTTACTCCCTGCACGTGCTGTGCAGACTTCCCATTCAGCCTGTGTATGAGGATGCTTTAAAGTAAAAAACCGACAGCAGTCTTTCGCGAATTCAGCCACGAGTACCTTTCAAATACCATATATACAGACAAGAACTCCGCAGCCGTTATTCAATAGAACTCACTCGTGAGAAATACGGCACCCACAAACTCACTAGTGTCGTCGGCACCTTAACAACACGCAGGGCCTGGTGATCCCCGTGCATATCATTATCATCTCATTATCGCTCCGCAGCCAATGAGATTGCGGAATTAGTTGATCAGAACGATTAATAACCAATCACAGAGCAAGAGGCAGGGGCGCAACAAACCACGCCCGCGTTTCCTAAGCTGTCATTGACTACACGAACGGCTGGCTTCGCGAAAGAATTGCAAACGAGCGGTTAATTACCAGGGCAGGATAAAATGGCGGGGATAGGTTCACCAGGGCAGCGGTCCACATATAACCGTACGCTAATGGAAGGATCCTCGCAATTTTCATCAAAGATTCCCGGAGGCTGGACGTGCTTCTTGATTGGACTGGAAGGCGTGTGCTCTCATTGTGACGTGGATTTTGTGCTGACATCTTCCTTAGGGTGACTCTCCCTGCGGTTAGAAGCGAAAGGTTGTCAATACGCTGTATTTTCAAAAGGCCGCAATTGGGGAGTCCCACGAGAGATCTATAGCTGTTGAAACACGCTAATAATTTGGCTCCGAGAAATAGCTTAAACAAAACGTGTTGTGAGTTATTTACTTCTGCCCACACTCATATCGTGGTTAAGGTACTACTACACTTACTTGAGGCCGGATTCACTAAGAATGACTAATCTTGAGTCGTTTTGTGCTTAGGAACGAACGACGGAAGAACTGAGGGAAAGAGGGAAAATATTCGGTGTTTCGTAAATGTTCAAATTCCTCTGAACGTAGCCTACGAGAATTCTTTCGAAGAAACTTTGAGCGTAGATTTAAATCAGCCTCGTCATTCGACGAGCCGGCTGCGTAGATTGCAGTGATTGGCTCTCACAATTGCTTTGCGGGAGAGGGAACGCTCCACTTTTCTTAGAGCTAAATGTGGGGAGTGAAGCATTGCTGCGATTACGGCTGGCGTCGCCTTGCCTCCACTACGTGCAATTTATTTTTACGTAAATATTCTTCACCTTGAGTACTTCCCCTAAATTATGACACATAATTTGTTTTTGCCAAGGAAATAGTTAGCGTTGTGCTGCTGACGCAGCGTTTCTTGGCGCCGCTTCAAAAGCATTTTTCTAAAGATCACGGGACTGAAGTCGGACTTGGCAGGCATTTTGGTTTCTGTCTTAATCTACGCAAAACCTTTAAACAATTTGCTTCGTAAATACCGAGTAGTTAATGAGATGTGATACAGTCGTATTTATATGTTTGTTTGTTTTTTTGTTAAAAAGTTTTGTGAATTCGGCCTCTCCTCTAAAGTTTTTTCTGCGTTCCTTCTATGGTTATTGCATTGATTCCATCTTTACCAGAAACCCTCTGTCGTGTCTCCATGCTAAATTAGATGTCAGAAAATTCGTTTGCCAAGCAGACAAACCTAGTTTACTCGCGATTTTTCCCCTAATATTTTGGTTCTTGAATGTGAACACTAAATTAGTTCAGTGAGCCTTCTTGCTTGAAATAATTTTTTCTTCAATATACTATACGAATGAAAGTAAATAATATTCACTTCAGATAACGGTTGAAAGAAACACACGCACTATAGTTGAATTCGTATTTCTCTGCAAAAACGCAGTTCCCTGTCAGTTGCATAATTACCGGACCATTTATAATGATAAATTTAAGACACAATATCGTTATATAGACGCTTTACACAAGCGCTAGATTAGAGCCACCACTGCCGACCTTCTTTTGTCTTGCCGAGATACCAAGCCACTGAAGTGGGCGTTGGCTAACCTCCACAAAGACAAATACTGGGGAGAAGGACCCAGTCGAATCTAAAATGACAATAACCTGTACTGCTGTGGTAATGATGGAGCGAAGTGATAAAAATAAGAGGAAACATAAACTGAGGGTCTGTTATGGTGGCACCCATGCACAGATGATGTCAATCGTCTATAATGCGGGTATTAAAAATAGTTAAGAACATAAAATTCACTATAATCTTGCAATACCCAAGCTCTATTTTTGCCTTGCATGCTAATGTCTTTCGAACAAAATAAAGAAACCACGAAATTTTGTCTTGCTCGCAAGGGACACGATGCCACGGATGACATAAGCAGACACTTCAATTGCATAACCAAGCAGATCGCCAAAATCCTTTCGTGCAAAGACTACAAATAATTTTGATAAAGCATCCTGTAGCCTGATGCACTTTTAAGATATTATTCTCTAATGATCCTTTAAAGCGAGATTCTTTAGTTGAGGAATAATTTTGATAGAACGTCCAGTAGGCCAATTTGATGACGTACCGATAGCGGGACTATAGTCGCGATATACAGGGAAATGGTGTAGCGGGTTTGAAAGCTTATCTATACAGTTTACACCGTTTCTTTAATAAACATGAGGATCTAAAATACTCACGTGCTTTCACGTCTTTATAGTATACGAATTACAAGTTAAATGCATTCCTCAATTGATCGTAACATGATATGATCGATTGCGCAGCTCCGAAGTTATATACTCCACTTCCTTCGCGGAAAGGCTGCAGCGTACTTACCTGATTAGAGCACGAGTTGGACGGTTCGCGTAGATGTAAAACTGGCGGCGATATGATAAACGCCGAACGAGCTCGGAGCCTCGAAGGTGTGCCGCGCTATCTAACACCGGATGACTGGACCGGCAGAGAGCCCGACAACACACGTGCGCGGCAGCCGCGTTGCTCAATTATTTCTGTCTTTTTCCAAGACAGATCGTGTCGTTGATGAGGCAACGCTGGCTTCAACGCGCTTCCTTTAAAACCAGCCATGTCGCGCTCGCCGCCCCGCAAGGCAGCGGGCACGGCTAGCTCAATCTCGCTTGCTTCGTCGTTCAAATTGAACCCTATTGAAAACCTCGTAGAGCAACACTGACGATCGCTATTTCTCGGGGAAGAAGCGTGCGATTGGATCCCTGTCCTTACCGACTTGTGACGCAGCTGTCGTTGTCGATCGGGGCTGAGCCGAGTTTATACCGAACGCTAAAGGCTCGTTCACACCGTTGCGTTCTTGTGCGACTGCAACCACCGCCTCGTTAAGACTCCTCGCGTCGACCTGTGGTTACGGCGACATTTAACGACGAGGCAATGGGGAGGCGCTGTACAACGCGACGCATCGCAGCGCAACGCGATCGACGCTAATGCGTGAACCAGCCTTAACGCAGCCCTCGTGTCCGATACATGCTCAGAGTATGTGCCAAAACAACCGGCTCGTTCGATTTGCCTGCACCAGCCTGCATCGGAGCAGAAAAGTGTCGCGCGGTCAAACGCGGTGCAGAGAAGTGCGGGGTAATGTACTTCCGGTTATGTTTTCGGATAGGCGACACTGGTAAATCGAACACGGCCCGTCTACGCCGAGCGCGGCTGGTGCAGGAGGCGCAGCAGGACAATGTAATGAGCCTAATGGCAGTATCGGGTGATTGGCGCGGCTGCTACGAGATGGAGCGCACATTTGAATGGGGTCTTTGGGTCATGTCCAATGCCTCTGTTCGAAGCTGGTCGTGGCTTCTTTTTGTACTTTCAGGTAGGACTCAAAGCCTCTAGCTCCTTGCTTTCGTTGATCGATATTGACCCATCGCAGTCACCTGTACTTGTATGGAGTATTAGAGAAATATGTGGGGTGATCGCTCTGGCGAGCTGGTGAGCGATCATGTTGAAAGGCCCCGGAGACGAGGCGAAGAGCGTTCGGTGGAACAGAGTATTTAAATACAATTAAAGTACACTTGTTACTTTACTTTAATTTCCTTTAGTTGTAACAGACGGAATAAGGTTGCCTAGCTGAGTGCGTCTTCAAACACCAAATGCTGCGTCGAAATGTGACGAAAAAGTGAAAGAAAGCAATGAAACATAAACAACATCGCGTAAAACTTTTTTAGATTTGAACTAATTCTTGTACACACTATAAAGACTTAACAAGACTGCGCCATAAATTCTGGCACACTCGCTCCATAAAGAAAAAGCGCGATACGTTTGTTATACAGTTCGGCGAGCAGACCATAGCTATTATGCTTCAAATACATAAAACGCCACACAGTGTGGTATTTTGGTCACATTTGGCGCCAATATACCTTCATACGCATTCTTACCCCAGTTGGGAAGTACTCCTTCCCAAATAACGAATTATTTTTATGTAATTCTTTATTTAACTAATTTTGTAATAGCTACTGTATATTTCCGAAGCGGCAATCGGTAACATAATTTAATTACAAAAGTCTTGTAGCAAATGACACATTGATTTCTCGTTACTTTTATAAACAAATAGGAACATATTACCGTATGTTCATATTTGTTTTATGAGAGGGAGGGGAGAGAGGAGGCCCCAGCAAAATAGAAGATTTAAGGAGGGGAGGGGGGGGGGGGGGGGGGGGCATGGGCCGGGTCCCGCGCATCCCAGGCGTAACGGCGTCGAAGGAGGCGCTACAGCTGAATTGAGCGCAGGCAAAAGGCTGGTCCCCTACCGCCACGGGCAGGCTCTTTTATGGCAAGAGTGGCGTACATCGCGTACCCCACAGAAAGTACTAGAATAACACTATGCACTAGCGGAAAATAAAGGAAACTTGCGTGTTCTTTCTGTTTCCTTATAAAAAAAACTAACGAAAGAATAAAACAAGGGTTTGCGGCTAGGATTTTAACCTGGCGCTACGGTGCGAAATCCGGGAACGCAAGCCACTTCGCTACTCTCGCTCTTTTATATCTTTGTTAAGTGCATAGACATACACATATGTCTGTGCACCTAACCAGCAACCAGCCAGCAACAACGAACGGTTTGTAATACCCACGCCTTCGGCCCCCCGCCACCATGCCCGTTATATATATATATATATATATATATATATATATATATATATATATATACATATATATATATATATATATATATATATATATATATATATATATATATATATATATATTATATATATATATATATACAGGTTGTTCATTTTTAATTCGAACAAATTTGTTTAATAGAAGCCGTGAAAGTTACACTTATGTTGCTTGTGGAGGTGAGTTATACTCCCTGGGGGACATATTATAGGGGGCTAATCGTAACAATCAATCGACTAATTAACTAAAAATCGTTAACTAACTTTTTAATTAATGAAACTAGACATAAGGTTCCAATTAGAAACTTGCTCAGCGTCATCAAAAACCACTAAATCAGTAATTTTCAGAAAGACTTTGACCCCGTGAGAAGCGTAGTCGTGCACTAAAGTTACCACTCGTGGAGCAGGTACAAAGCTAGCGGTTGCGATAAGGAGCCTGCGCGATTTTTCCGTCTCTTATCTAGCCCCAGCCTTGTACTTGCTCCACGAGTGGTAACTTTAGTACAATACTACGCTTCTCACGCGCCGAAAGTCTTTCTGAAAATGACTGATTTAGTGGTTTTCGATGAGGCTGAGCAAGTTTCTAATCGGAACCATATGAGTATTTTCATTAATTAAAAAATTAATCAACGAATATTAATTATTTAAAGGACTGATCGTCACGTTTAGCCCCCTATTGGCGACGTGAGCGAACGAAAGCGTCGCTGTGGTCGGCCCACCACAATTGGCCGAATGGTGACTATGACGTCAGCAAAGGATGTCCATCGACGGGATTAAGAGGAATGTAAGAACTTCAATTTTGACGGTGTTGGCAGTGTTGCTTTGAGAGCGCTATAATTTCAGGCTTCCACCATGCCCATTACAAACACCATCGAACTTGTTGTTCACAAGGTAATGACGTCACGAAAGGTAACCGAACGAGGGCGCCACCGAACCATCTCGCCGCTAATAATGTGTCCCCCTGGCCGTATAACTCAACTTCACAAGTGGCATAAGTGTAACTTTCACGGCTTTTTTTTAACAATTCTGTTAAGCTTAAAAAACACCCTATATATATATATATATATATATATATATATATATATATATATATATATATATATATATGCAAAGTACATATGTACTCCTTTAAAATGTATCTACATTTTAAAAACAGCCTTCCAGCGCTTATGGGTGGTTATTGAGTATTCCTTCACATGCGTGTGGTTATCTTGCACGTTGATCCACACTGGCGGGTACTCGCTCTGATTGTATACAGTGTTCACCTGTGCAACAAGGTCAACAAAGTAGACTCGCGCTGTCCTGGGGAATCGTTCGGCATGCCTGACAGTCCTTCGAGACGTCCACAAACTAAACAATCCGAGAACCATAATCATGTCGAGCGGTAGGCTCTCGTGCGACTCGATAGGTAAAATATGAATAGCGTGAGGTGTCACGAAAAGTTCCGTCGTTAAAGTTTTTTGAAGGACATCCCCCCAAAACACGATACATTCCAGTAGTTCAAAAAAACAATGTTCAATGGTTTTTGAGACTTTGAAAAACGGGCAGTTTAAGCCCCCCGGGATGATTATGCCCCGTTCGCCTAGCCAGAGCTTAACAGGCAGGGTGTTGGTAAGTAATCGAAAGGGAAAGGTTTTTGCCGACTGCATTATACACATTTTTTTGCACTAGAACTATGACTTCGTGCCCCTGTTCATAATCATTCGCAAAAAGGGACCGATACATCGGCACCGGAAACAAATTAACAAGAAAGTCATGGTATAGTTTATTTCGTAAAACAGTATACGAATTTCGAGCGAGTACCTTACCACCGAAAAAATGTAAAGACTCATCCACGTGCTTTACAAAGCCCGTCAATTTTCCGGAAAAAAACAATGTCAGAAGTTACGAAAAAGAAAAGAACGTGTGCTGAAAGGTCTGGTCTGCAGCGTCCCTTGAATAAGAAGATTGGTCTAGTTTTGTACAAAAGGGAAACACAAGACAACCGGCGGAGAAAACGATGTCGCAGTTCGAGATCGCCCTTGGATATGACCGTCTTACTGAAAGAGGGAAAGAGAGAAAAGAGGAAAGTGGCTGCCGCCGCTTTCCTCGTTAAGCGTGTTTCACATGCAGCCGTTTTTGCCCTATCGGCGCGATTTCTGCCGTCACGGGGCTCTGGCCAGCCGCAGCGGTTGAGCGGCACGAGCTCCGCGACGGCACGAATCGCGCCGCTCTATACTTCGTTTCAGATTCGGTCCGAGCGCGGCCGATGTTATGCGCCGAAGGGCCAATCAAAGAGCGCGAAAAGCGCAGCGTCATGGCGTGCCTTCTGCGCTTGATAGGTCTAGTCGGCGGAGGAGCGCGCACAGAGAGACTGCGAATACCGGCTGGTCCTATCAACTGCAGACAGCACGCCATGACGTTGCGCCTCTTTCGCTGTTTGATTGGCCCTTCGGCTCATAACTTCGATCGTACTCGGACCGAAGCTGAAACGAAGCACAGGGCCGAAATCGATGCATATGAAACACGCTTTGCGAGTGGTTTGGAACGAGCGAAAGACCCGGATGAAGGCCTTGGACGTGCGTGTTTCTCGAATTTCGGTTGCTTTCTTCGCGTTTTTTTTTTCTAATGTATTTATGATTAGAGATGTGATTAGAGATAGCGGAATCAATGACGACAATCTTCTGGCCATCGGGACATCATTGTTTGGTAATAGGCTGCACGGATAACAACCGAAAGTGCAGAATATTATCGGAGAGCATCTGTATCGCGCACGGGATCCGACAAGGCAACTGCGGCTGCAATGACTTGATACTTTATCGCTTTCCGAAGGACCGAAACCTCCAGCGGCAGTAGGTCGCATTTGTAAACAAAAAAAAACAAAAAAAATCAATACTTTTTTCCGACGCCATTTTCTCGCGTGTGCTCGCAGAATTTCGTGAATAGAGCGCGCACCGAACTTACCGCGGTACCGTCGATGAACATGGGCTACGCTCGCCAGGTGGGTGCAAGGCTTCTCGTGAGAATCACTGTTCGAGCTTGTAACTTTTCGTAACTTAATTTATCTTAATGCTGATATCTTGCAGCTGTAACCTTGACTTGATCTTATTATATGCAACGCTTAGTTGAATGCACATTTCCACCGCCACGTGTAGCTGAAAATTGTCAAGAAGTTAGTTCTATCGGTTTTTAATAAATGGATTGTCCAGTATAAATTTTGTTTTTAATAAAACAATTAATTATAATGTCCTTTCTTTTAGGAATATCATCCGAATGATATCCGAATTTTGAATCTTCCGCAGCACAAGTAATTCAATTTTAAACAGAACCAAATTTCTCAAATTGTACTCTCAAAATACACAGCGTATTCTGCGATCTAAGAAAGACAAGATTTACGGTATTGAGAAAAGCTGAATTCATCGACGATGATCTTTGTACGCACCATCAATCATGCTGATCAAAGCCGGGAATAGGTCAACGCCAGCGATTCTGGCTTTACCATGCCTGATATGACGTCGCGAAACGACCAACCATGCATACTCGCGTAATCTGGCGTGAAGTTTCGTATTGACGTTCATATTTGATTACACAAATACTGGGAGCGTTTTTAATTAAATAAATATCACATCTGACTATATTTACATCCTCTCTACGTGACCAGAGCAAACACTTGGTAACTTTCGAAAATCACAAGACAACCCCTTCAGTCGCGATCTCCTACGGAATAGCAGAGAGCCGTGATCTTACGTTGACCGTCACAACGAGACTGGGTTCTTATTTCAAATATAAGTGCATAACGTAGCTGCGAGGAAAACTTATAATTGTATTGCTGAAACATTCGCATGCCTCGATTTCGAATCGTTGAATCATTGATCAACTCGCTCCGGCAATGGGCTTATCTCGACTTCGCTCTTTTCAATTCTAGACAAACGACACGCTCGTTCACCTCAATTAAAACTTCTATAAACATCTACAAGCCGGATGGTGCTGCCTTCTATCGTTCCCTGCAATTGTCTTATTTCGCTCGACGTTGTTCACATTATGTTTCATTGTTGGGGATGTCACGAAACGCAAAAAAAAAAAATATTCTCGGTCCAAACAGACAAAAAACCTGAAGGGCAATTAATTCAATCGCTGTAACATTGTGCAATATTTTGAGCAGTCAACTCCGATTTCTATAGCCCGGGTAGCACCGGATAGCCATTAAGGTGATACCCCTCTAGCAATCGCTCCTGAACATTATACGAGAAATTCATGATTTTGGTTAGTCCTAGTTGCATTCAGAGCAAGCGGAATTCTCGTTTTGATTATTGGATTTTTTTTCCCCAAATTTAAACTGTAAAATAATCTTAACACTGCGCCCAAATTAAAGGTTACCGTAGTCGAAAAGATGATCGTAGCGTTCTGGCGTGGGACAATAGTGCTGAAAAGTCTTAAGAGTCATTTCGAGACATTCCAAACTGATAATCGTACCCTGGAATGATCAATTTACAACATAGGAGGTTTTAATTGTTACGGAGTTGCGTCAATCTTTGAAACCCTTGTCTTTGTCTTTTTTGTTACACTTTATTGGGACACCGATGGCTCGACGGCATGAATGAAAAGGGTTAAGAAAGGAGTTAACTAAAAAAAAAAGGATTCTTTTGTCGATATCAGCAGAGCGCACAAAGTACCAAAGGACTCGGCGTTTGTTTTGCTCGGTCACCACACTTCGGTTTTATACAGTCCTCGTGAGTGTGTATAACCGAGGTATGGAAAACGAGTCCGCCCGTCGTGGAGCGCCGCACACTCCCATCGCATGTGTTGGACTGTGGGGGTAACGCCTGCAAAGCATGTGGAACAGCTAGGCCACCGCTGTGTTTGAAGCTTCAGACGACTGCGACTGCGTTGATTCACAGTTGGAACTGGAGTGTGAGGAGGGCGTACTGTCTGGGTCATCTGTGTTAGGTGGGCGCCCGGTCTTTTCGGTGTAGACCCTCCATCGGGCCAAGGTGTCCTCGGTGAGGGCGGCGCCGGTGCGTACTTTAAGGATCAGCACTTGAGCACCTCTTGGTAGGCCCTTCGGTGAGAATGAAGGGTTTGCTTATGTCCGTTCCCTTAAGTGGAGGTGATCTGCACTCTTCGATCCTGCCTTCTATATTATTAGTCAAAAAAGACAGTGAATATTAAAATAAAAACAATTATTTATTTAAATGGCACCTTCATGCTTCCCGAGTTGTTATGGCGATGTTCTTTCTTGATAGATAGTTTGACCGCTGCCATTGAAAGAATGTAACGGGCGTCTGTAACCAAAAATAATGCTTGAATGTCTACATGCAGAGACTAATAGTTTATGCTGACATTGCACCGAAACATGAGTGCTGCAGCGTATCATTTTTCGGACAGAATTATCTGCATTGCTGTTTTTGAACCTTTACATCATTCATAATTTAAAGAAGATAAATGAACATTGCATATCAAAACTGTCCCTCATGTATTATCAAGGTACCGTTCTAGGCATACTTTGAAGACGGTCCTATCAGAGGAAAAGAAAAACTGGGTGCAGTTTCCGTTGGCAGATAACCGGAAACTTTTCAGAGACAAGAGCTTCTGCTGCCCGATTGATGAATGTTTTTTTTTTTTTTTTTAATGTTTCAGACCTGCACGAGTGTCAGGAGTAGGAAACTTTACGTCATGCTACTATGCATGAGCATGGGGCATATTATAAGCTTTCATCGCCCGCCATTTCACGGAAAACGCATTTAGTGCAAGTAGCCAGAGAAGGGCATCGGATGAACATATAATTATTACTTAATACGTACCCACGTCAAGAGAGTAACAAACATAAACATAGATCCTTTCCTGTAGCCGAAGGTGTCGACCAAGTATCCAGCAATTGGCGAAGTAGCTAAACCTCTGTAACATGAATACGACATTTGTTATATTCCAATTATTTTCTAACCCCCAGAGAGCACTACAACCTGGTGTGTATGCGTGCCACAAAATGCATCTTATGTTTCGTCTTAAGACCATCCACTTTGTGATGTGATTTTTTCTGGAGATATCAAATACCCCAAGAATAACTGGGTTCCAGGCTTTACCTGGAAGCATGCTCGGATTATGTTTCTGAAATTTTATGTTTGCTGGTCCTACACGTTATGTCCAGTTAGACAAGAAGCTAATGGGTATTTCTAGAATCGCGCAAGGTCTCTCACGTTAGCACTGCGTACGACGCGCGCACGCTCTCAGCGGAACTCTGCGGAGCTCGTCATACCAGCGATTTTAGTACAACGGAACGCAAACACATACGCAAGCAGTTGCAGCGCCTTATAGACATGCCCAAGCGCGCTGCTTCAGGCAATATAAGACCGGTATACGGTCAAGCCGATCTGAGTCCCGCGCTGTCCCGCGCGCGACGAGAGCAACGAGACAGGGAGAGCAGAGCACTGCTGAGTACGGACGCAAAAATAGATAGCGAGCGTGTACGTACGTATACGTGAAGCTCGCGGCGTTGCATGCGTACGCAGCATGCGCATTATGGAGCACGCAAGGCTAATGCAAGCGCACACCTCTTGCTTTCGCTCGTATACGCAACACTAAAAGTAACTATCGCTCGCGTTTGCTCCTAGGCTCTCTAACGACTCCAAGCAAGCGGGAGTTTCCTTTTTTTATATATGAGCGCTTGTTTGTTGGTTTGCGCTTCTACTATAATTGAAGCGCATCTATAGTTGAAACGAGTTCAAAGAGACGAACTTGTAACGTCAACCATATATAGGGCTGGTGTTACGAGCTCGCCTATGTGAATCTAACCGGGGGGGAGGGGGGAAGGGGGGGATGTTCGTCAGCACAAACAAACTGCCGTAATCGGTTTGTGTCACCGTCCTGTAAATAAAAGGAGGGAGAGAGATTCTTGAAGGACAGCGTGGCAATCATGCGTGCGAGGGTAAGTTAAAAAACACATACTAACGAGTCGCTCTTCTTTTTCTTTTTTTTTTTTGCTGGGGAAGCACGTTGTTGTTTTATGTTTTCCATTGTTGACTGGCGATACGTTATATTATGAGCGCCTACCGCTCGTGAGAAAGAGATGCCTTCTCTCCTTTCACCCAGACAACTGTGACACAGATACAGATCATAATGCAGTTTGTTTGCGTTGGTCGGTCACACGTCACCCGTCACACAGGCGAGCCCGCGAAGTCAGCACTTGTTTGAACGCTAACCACCAGTCAAAGCCTTCGAGAAAAGTACGCCTGCTCGAATGAATGTACACGTAAGTGCTTAAAAAAAACTTTGTGAACAAGACATGACATTGCATTAATAACAGAGCCAGCGTTTTGTTTTGTGCTGCATTTTATATAAGCAAGTAATTTCATTCGTCGCTCTTTTTTTTTTTTTTTTTTAACCACAAAGAAGGAGAACGGCGAAGAAGAAGCTTAAGTTATCCCACCTCCAGCGCGAGCTTCTCTTCGGTAATGCTTTAGGGTCTCGTGGATTTTGTTTCTGCACGACCATCTAAAGTACACTAGAAGGCAACGTGTGCGAGCTAAATGTTGGACTACATAATGTTTCGGTGGGCTACATTTGTTTCGGACATTTTAACACTTCTTTAACAACGTTAAAAAAATGTTTATTTAGTACATTTGTTCCTTCACGTAATCGCGTTAATTCCCAACAATTTTCTCGTTCAATGCCCATAAGAGCCCTTGCAGGTATAATAAATTGCGGCAATAATAAATCTAGTTCATGTATATCAACAGGTGTCAGAAAAAATTTGCCCTACAAAACGCAGGCCATGGTTTATATTCTACACACTTTTCGCCTTTAGTGCTTTTTGTTTTTCGTTCGGAGATCTGATTGGTTAATTCCTCGATCTCATTGGCTGCGGAGCCATAATGATATGCTCGGGAAACGCCACGGCCCGCACTACTTATTAAGCTATGAGTGCACCATAGTAAAAAGCATAGTTTTCTGGCGGTTTTAATAAGGAAGCGACAACGTGAATTGGAGGCGCATACATAAAGTTGACTGTTGACTTTCTCTCAGAATATAATACTACGTTCGAAATGGCCTTCACAAGAAAGGACTACTCACCCAATTACGAGGGAAGGAAAAAGAACAGATGATACAAATCCAGAGGTGCGAAGGTTGTCAGGATAACCGAGCTCTCTTAAAAAAAAAAAAAAAAAACACAGACGCAAAGAGCTGATTAGATATATATATTTTTTTTTTTCTAAAGCTTAACAATTGTTTATACATTCGATTTGTGCATATTTCGGATTTTTTATTATATGTCTGTCTGGCTTAAGACGTTTGACATCCCAGGGACCTTGACTACGTAATTCTGACATCAATCGATTGACGGGAGATTCTTGAAACGTAGAAAGCGATTGATTTCCGATTACAATTTTTTATGACAATTTTGCTGAGGCTTGTATATATTCCTCACCTAGTAAGTACTATTTTAAGGCGACTTAGGCAACGCAAAAGAAACCTATTTATGCTACATAATTTAAGACTTAACTGTTTTCTTACCTTTTTGCCTACACCCATAACGTCTAGTGGAGTACGTGATAACGGGGCGATGTTGAAAGTACGTGCGCTTCAGCGCGTTCGTAATTACAGCGTAAACAAAAAAATTAGCACCCAGCAACAAGGACCAGAAACACCCATGTCCCTTTCCCGTAACCCCGGTAGCTTACACAATAGTTCCTACTTGTAAGAGGCATGCGTGATTCTCACTTTCTTTACTGCATATTCATTCTCCCGTTTACGGGAAAATTGTATGTACTACACTTTTGAAGCGAAAACATTTCGTACACGATTTATCCAATAAACATATCAGAATTTATATCATTAAATATAGAAGGCGCATATAAATCTTATTAGTTTTAATGTTTTCACGCGTTTATCGAAAACATTCCTAATATTTTCAACAGGTGTTAGCGCCAAGATCTTTCGGTGGCGCTCCTTTACGGCTTCCTTTCCTGCCGTCACGACAGGATTTGCCTCGCTGTCATCGACATAATGTGCCTTTGCCTCGCCGTGATTGGCAAGATTTGCCTCGCGTTCACCAGTGATTGGGCAGGCATTATCATTTTACAGGAACCTATGGATTGGCCAATCGCGAACTTCGACCACAGCGACGCTTTAGGTCGCGCACGTCGCTAATATACAGGATCCATTGTCAACGTTACTAGATTACCTCAGTTGTGGAACTCCCGCAAAGGGGGGTACCCCCACCCCCACCCCCCCCCCCCCCCCACTCACTTCAATCCGCCTGCCGTCGTTCGAAGCGCCATCTATATTTTCGTTTTATAACTGTGCGTTCCAAAAAGCACATCTGAAGCGCCAAATGGCCTGGCTCTGAAATGCGATCACAACGCCGCCATTTCTCCCGCAGCGGTCACTCGAGGAACTGCACGTGACATCTATTTTGGCTTCAATCGGCCTTTTCGGAGCCGAAACAGATACGGTGGACAGGGTTGCACGGGTGCCACCCCCGTTTTCTCAGCGGACGTGCCATGAAATATCACCGAAGTTAAGATACACCTAGGTCGGGACGCGCAACCTGAAATCACCGCCGAGGCGTGGTTGTATAAAAACAATATTGTGCTGCAAATAATTGCAAACTAAAAATTTTAGAAAAAATCACGCGCTCCTCATTTTGTGCTAAACTCCAATAAAAGTTACTACAAAAAGAGTTTTTTTTTCTTTTTTCGTTGGTTTTTACGTTTCTTATACCCGTTTTCACCTCAAGAAAACAGGAAGTTTTGCGCATTGTTCATACGCGGCGCGAAGTAGTTCTTACGATGTTTTGTCCTTGGAGGAAAAAGCGATGCTTTTGGCGTTTGGAAGGTGTACCTTTTGATAAAATAACATTTATCTAACCTAAATTCCACCTGCATATATCTTAATTCTCCACTTAAAGGGGGAAGTTAGTAATGCTCCGCGAGGAGCAGGACTTGTTTTACTACGGTTCTTGAGCTGAAAACAGGTATAGTAAAGTTCAAACGGACGTATTCCGATTCAGTTACCAAAGAAGCCGTCCTGCGGCGCGTCGAGCGACACCGGGCAAGTCATGGTGAGTGAGGAGGGGTACTGTTGGTGCATGCAACGTCTATGAGCAGTTCCGTAACTGAGCTAATCTAGTAACGTTGACCATCGTGTAATAATGGACACTTTTACTGGGTAGAAAATATCTACGGCATATTTCTAGGCAATTGTGTTGCATACGTTTCTAGCATGACAAACGTTTAGTGATACTCTGGGTTTCACGTGTGCAGGGCTGACACACCGGGCGGTCTTCCAGAGCCTTCCATACTCTCTAGCACCTCTCCCCCAGTGCGCACAGGTGGTCGAGTTCTTCTTCGCCTACCTCACTCCTCCTCGCCTACCTCTTTGGTCACGTGACCTCCCCGTTAACCACTCAGCGTCGAGCTTCGTGACCACACTTCTCAGGCTTCACGAAACGCTGAACACCTAGCCAACTGAACGTTTCACGTTGATGTCAGTATAGGCGGAGACAAACTAATATTGTGCGTGACACAATTTTTCTCAGTATGCCTAAAAGAGGAAACGGAAACCTATTTACGTGTAGGCTCGTCCACTTACGTGGCACGTCTTAGGGCTTGGCAGTAAGAGCAAACAAAAAGTGCCGCCATTCCGTTTCCCATAAGGACTAGCGAGACGTATAGCATCCAAAGGCTCCTGTCGAATAAAAATAACCATGAATTAAACGCTATGATTGCTTATATCAAGTCCAGATAATAGCCTTTTTGGTAAATGTATTTTCTGATAACTTTACAGCTGTTCCTCATACCTAATGTTGTAGGCGTTACCGATAAAAAGTCACGAATACGTCACTCGTTACTTGCAAATAAAATTAACGCGTTACCGACCTACGTTACCTCAATATAAAAGGAACTCGTTACCGTTAAAAAGTAAAGCTCGTTACTTCTGGGCTCCTTTTTTTTAAATTGCGAATTAACCTGTTTCACTCTCTGACGCTAGAGGTATGCATAAACGCCATATTTCAAGAAACATACTGTCTATCCAGAAACTGAACATAATTGCCTTGTCGTTTTTAAGGTTCCACCTAAATACTCACAAAAAAAGCAAGAAAACCGCAAAAAAAAAAAAAAAACGCAAAAAGTTATTTAATTTGGTGCCTAGAAACTCGAAAAACATTGAAGTGCGATTTCCTTAAGTCTCGAGAAGAATATGAAACGAGTAACGTAACAACGTCACACGTTACCCAAAATATTTAACGTAAGTGCGTTACCCGTTACCACTTTGAAAATGTAACAAGTACGCTACTACGTTACCCGTAACGCTGTTACTTGTAACGCGTTACCGCCAACACTGCTCATACCTGGTTCGGTCATAACAATTTCAGTCCAGAAATTCAAGGGAGTGCCATAAATATTAGTAATTACAAGTTGAAGACTAGGACGATTTATATTTTACCGAGTTTTACTTGTGTAATCTTTTGTTAAGCAATTTCTTAAGGAGTCTTGCGGAAGCTGAGTTATATTTGCGATGATTTCATGTGACGATTCGGCACAAGGTGCAATTTGGGGAAATAAAAATTTGTTTCGTTTGCAGAGGACAGAATATTAGCTTTATATAGAAATCACTTGACGATGTTAATGACCTCCCGTTATTAAATGTTCGCATGCCTTTAATGACTTCACGTTATTAAACGTTTGGATGACTTTAATGACAGCAACGTTGTTATGTGAATTGGCCGCAATGGCTAAAATAATATTGACAGATTTGTCTGCTTTCCTCGTTACTGACTTTGTCGACCAGCCTTCGGGCCTTCGAAAGGTTCATATCTTTCCCCAAACTGAAACACAGTTGCGTTCCCGTTGTTACAGCATTAGACAGCCATTGGCAAAAGGGTAAATGTACATTTCCTACTCATCATTATCAAGTCTTCAATTTTTTATTGAACAATTCAATCGTTAAACTTAAACTTTATAAAATAGCCTTGGCGTTTGCATCCTCGCGCACAGTAATTTAGTGACAAGTTCACCACATATGCGCTAAAGCTATAAAGATAATAGCTCACAGGTGAAATATTTGAAAGATTGATTAAAGTTCTGAAAAACGAAGACTGAACTGCCTCAAATTTCTCGCCATAAATTATTAGATCTTCAAGTATTTTTAAATATACCTATAATAATAAGTGATGTAGTACAATGTCGAAAATATAAAAAAATACGGTAGGTCTTTTTCTTGCATATAGCCTTTCGTCTATTTACACTCGCCGATGCATTAATATACAGAAACATGTTTATCTGAACGATAAGGGATTAAATGAGGAGCCTGTTAACATTTGTTAATTTGCTATATTTCTTTATTAGTCATCAAACAAAATCTAGTGCTATATGCTGGTATATTGCTTACGGTTGGCATGGCAGAAAAGGCACCGGTCCAATAATCATAAACGACAATGCCGTGAGGAGCAAAGAGGCGAAATTGAAAAATATTTCCATCTGAAAAAAGATTTCGAGTTATACACTGGGTTCAAGTGTGCAATTAAACTTTTAAACCGTTTTTTACTTGCCCCGGGTATCTTTCTGTGTATACTTTTTTTTTTTTTAATGGCGGGGAAAATATTATTGTTTTGAAAAATAACGCCAGTGAGACAGAATAACTTCTTCAGTGTGCTATTATAAGCATAAAAGCGCACTCATCCGTAAGGAAAAAATCTGCTTCGTCAGAATCAGTGAGGAAGACGGGACCCTTGTCGGGGACCTGCAAGGAGACTTTTACAATTACACTGACGGTGTGCTTTATGAATTTAGTAACTTTTATTGGTCTATTGTTTCACGTAGCCGTGTTCCTACAAGGAACGGCATGAACCTTGAAGGTGCTAAATGCACTCAACCATTTGATACCCAAAACTCTTCTTGAAATACTGAAGACATAGAAACCCCAACGTGGTTCTAGAACACACAGAAATACAAAAATTTGGTATCAGAAAAAAAAAATATTTTTGTAATTATGTTTTCGAAATGTTGCTCGTGAGCAACATTGCATTTGCTGCAGTATTTTACGTTAAATTACTGAAAGCAGTTACGACATGGAAGAGAAGGCACAGGTGCACTTCTAATTTCGCAGTGCTAGTACAGAGACACTTCTATCTGAATTTGCAATATTTGCGCCTGTACTTTTCCTCGGAAATTCGAGGACAGTGATGCACGCCACCATGCCTCCCATCCACTGTTAGCTTTGGTTTTAAAGGACAAATGATCTATTTTGTATGTGCAATTCTATTCTTTGCTGTTAAGTGCAGGTATCCTGCCCTTCCGGCAGCTAGAGTGCGCAAACGTTTTAAGGCGCAGATGGCGTGGGAGAAATAAGTCATTCATGAGTTGTTGGTCTTGGGCAATACTGGGCATCAAATGGTTAAAGTAACGTGAAGCTGAGTTTGAGATGAAAAAAATATACTTAGCGACGTCGTAATGTCAACTTATGCCACCTCGATGCAAGATATCTGCTTCCAGAATGGCTGGGACTTTATTGCTGTTTCAAATATAAGGTAAACAGACACCAGTTCATCTTTATATTTTTTTGTCGACTGCTCAACCACTTGAACGTACAAAAAACCACTTCTCTAGTTTATATTAGTAATATTTCCTGGTTTTTGCTGAGTTCTTTTTTTTTAAGCACGGCATCGTTTTAGTTTTTTATAGCTATTGGTCTGTATTCGCTTTTCAGTGAACGTTAAGAAAGTAATGACACAATAAAAGTTTCAATACTGGTCACCTGGAATTGGCAGAACATTCCCGAGATCAAAGATCCGACTGCGTAGCTGGCGTACTGCACCATGAAGCAAACGCCGACTTCCGTGTTGCTGAGGCCAAACTAGAGGGTTTAAAACATTTAGTGCGAATTCAGATCTACCAAAAGCTCTTTAACGACATTATGTAATGCAAGCTGTATACCAAGTTGTAAAGCGTATTTTCCTTAGCCTCTTGGGATATTAAGTTTGTTAAAGCAGACCTGGATCAGCGTGGTCTAATGAAAGTTATTTATGTTTTATTTGTTCTGAGGGCTATATGGTATTTCTTATCATATCAAAACCCAAAAGGGGGGTGGCGACCGCTGTGATATTTTACCATCTTTTACCATTCTTTTAAGTCCAGAGACTAGGGCGAAAAGGGGGACAAAGTCGATTACAGTGCGATTCTGCTAACGTTTTTAGTTGGAGAAGAGGGACATTATCTGACAACACATGAATTACTATCTGCCTACACACATATTATTTTAAGATACGTATTTGGATCGATCGGTTAAACATTTTCATCCGTAATCGACTTTTATGACTAGCGCAGCTGACGCTCAAGTTGAATATTCGTTGTCGTGAACAGTGTGGTGCGCTGTGACTTGCCACGCCCGAGTGTGGCACGGTGAGGCACGCCTCACAGATTCGGGCTGCACGCTATCGTGCCGGGCTTGCACGATGCCACACAGATGGACATGGCTGTTGCGGCGACACCAGGGAGTGCGGCAGAGGTAGAAGTGCGTTTGAACGTTTTCAGTTAAGCTCGGAGTCGCTCGCACCATCTCTTCCATCTTCAATATCGAACGCGCTACATTAGTCTTCTTTCCATGGGATGCCGCGTCTTCTGAAAACATCGTCTGATCGTTCTTATTTGCAGCAAAGTTGTTATGGGCTCTTCCCACAACCGGAAGTAACGTCAGTGGGTGATGTTGTAGTTGTTGTCGTTGTTGTTGCTCGCGTAGTAGGGCGTGGGTGTCCGTCGTCGACATTGCCAAATCCTTGAAAACGATCGCCCGCTGGCATCGAACCTGGATCGAATGCCCGCGCTTCACACGCTGCAAACCCAGGTTCAATTCTAGCATGCAAGGGGCGTTTCTTTCTATTATTTTTCAAAGATTTGGCAGCATCTACGGCGGCCGCCCTACATCGCTCACTAAACCAGCGGTGGGAAGATCCCAAAACAGCTATCACTGTAAAAAGAAACGAAAGCGTTCATAACAAAACGGTCAGAGGCGTTCGGAACAAAATGGTAAGAGAACGGGCGCGTTCAGCAGCTGGAAGTGCAGTACGAGAACTAGTTCTAAGTTCAACAAGAAGCAGAGTCCCAGCCAAGGCTATGGCAGAAACCGACCGGAGGCGCAAACTAAAATCTGAACAGAGGTGTCGATACGAGCAGCAGAAGGCCGACGAAGCACCTTCGCCAGGCCCAACGCTTTCCCCTTAAGTTACGAGCAAGTCGCGTAAAGGAAGAGAAAAGAAGCCGAAGACGCAACCGTCAAGTTCACTATGGCGAACGACGCAGCTACAGTCGCCGCGACAAAAAGCAAGCTCCACAAGAGTCCCCGCCGCGTGACGCGCCTCCATCGCAGCACAGCTCCCTGGACTCAAACAGCCTTCCCGGCAGTCCCTCGAAATGAAGGCGTCGTTTAAGAACAATTTGTCAAGACCGATTTCAATGCCAAAGGCGAGCTCCCCGAAGCGAGCGTTCAGTGTGGATCTTCCGAAGACGAGATGGTCAAGCTGGGAAGGCTCAGGACCCAAGCCGGCAACACACTGGCCCGCGAAAGGAAGGCTGCAGTCGTCGGCGCTGCGGTGGCCATAGAACACGACTACAGTCTACTATCGAAAAACCGAAGACGGAAGTGAGTATATAGCTTGCTCCAAGGGCTGAATCTACTGCAGGAATCGCGACGTAGTGTATGACCAACGTCACCTCATATAGGATTGCCCGACCTTCGACATAATGGAAGCCCTGGACCCGCTAGCGCAGCGGCACCGCCCCCAGTACTTTGAAGCGTGGTGTAGACACGCGGGAAACAAGGAGACGCGCGTCGCGATCCTGTCCGACCTGCTCGGTTTCCTGAGCGAAACCGGACTGGACATGCACAAATAAAGGGGTCGTTACACCGCACGGCGGTATCACAGCCGCACCACAGCTTGTAAATCGTCAATGTGCCGCCAGCGACCCATATATCTAAACTCGTTAACCACGTTGACTCCATTCCTTCAATTTCAAGGGCCAATAAACGTCTTCTCACTCACTCAAATGGTCAGATGTCTCTTTTATTCCGAACGCTTTTGTTCACGCAACCTCCCCCCCGGTCCGTAAACGTGACGCCGATGGCCACGATTTCGCCTTGACGTGTCGCAGTTATCCGTGTGACTGTACCGTGGAATAACACAGGACTGCTCATTTTTGTTTTGAATTCAATTCTCGCGACGACACTTGGAATCGTGAGGCTGAGGCAAGAAAGCGTCGTGTGCGGTGACTTGTAACGTGACGTCAAAGTGCGATGCGTGCAAACACGGGCAGTTGGTTTGTTCCACAAGAATTTGGCAACTGATCACGTCTTCCTACGCTCGCGTTTATTGCTTTCTGATCTTCGTCGGTCTTGTAGGTCATGCTGCTTTCTTATTGACTGCTGAGCGGTAATACGATGCCCTGCGTTTCGTAAGCGGTCCGCCACTAATGTTTTCACAATGCCAGGCCACGGTACTCCCCAGACGTTCGCGAAATCTGGGTTAGCTTTGGTAATGAGGCAATTCTGCACTTGTATATTAAACAAAATACTGAAAACAAAGAAAAGGATGAAATACGTACCTGCTCGAGATAGGGCCCCAAAGTTGGCTCGTTGAATCCCATGATTACCCACGATAGCATCACGGAGAACGTATTCAGTATAAAAAGAGAGTCCCGAAGCAATCGCCCGAAGGGCATGTCCGCCGCAGCAGGCTGCTGGAGGTCGGCCACGAGCGACGCGTCTGAAAATTCAAGTCAAGCCAACCTGTGAATCGGTCACCTGAAATTTCCGGCGCTTAATGACGACGGTTGCTCGTGTTCCATTGCCATATAAAGACACACTCACCGCAATATTTTAGTAAACTTGACTCGAAGAGTTTGTTAGTTTTGTTTGGGAAGAAGGTATAGGCTAACGACACGCCCTGCATGTTGGTTCTCGTTGAGCGTTCGGTAAGAAAACATTACGTATAAGGAATACGCGTGCGATGTTTAAATACACTCCCCCGCGAGTCTGCCACAACGTTCACAATTTACTTTTTTAGCACTGACAATGCTTGTCATATTATTACTTGCAGTCACTTAACGTGTATGTAATAAAATAACAAATGTATTATTTAATATATTAATTGTTATTATGTATCTAAATATGTAATTATTTATTGATTTGATACCTCATAAGGGCAGAGGGTAGAGCGTACGCCAGAGATGGCGGCAATGTCATCACTGTGATGTAATTACAGTAATTAAATTACTTTTTCGAGTTTTGAGTAATGTAATGAACTACTTCTCTAGGCTAGTAATTTAGTAATCTAATGAATTACTTTCAGGCAGTAATTTCAAGAAAATTACTCATTACTTTTGAAATTACTTTTGCCCTAAATTAGAAAGTTCGTTTACAAGCTTTAAAAAAGAAGAGAGATATTATTTTGTATGGTGAAATGTTGTGAAAGAGCATCAGAGGAAATAAACGACGGCCACCTGCGAGAAAAGCCTCGTACAAATAGCTGGACAGACGCACGAAGGAGGGCTGGAAAGGCGAAGGAGAAAAGCTTACGTGTTGACATCACTGGAAGGCAACGGCTTACGAACTCCAGGCACGAAAGATTCAATGCGTCGCGTCATCACGACGATACTATACTTCGTTCATCCTTAAGGTGCGGTGGGAGCTGCAAGCTAACCAGAACCAAACGAACACCTTCCTTTAATCACCTGTCCCTTTCACGGTGCGTGGTTATCAACGAAAGCGCGGTTACGTGGAGAGCGATAGACGTGAGACTGCTGCAACAAACACGTAGCTTCCACCGTCCATGCCCAAGCTGACAGTGCGTTAGCCTAAGGATGAACGGCTGATATGCTACAAGGCGACGGGAACATCAGCAGTGAGTTAAACCGTAATTTGAAACCGAAGAGGACAGGACAGAAAGTTCCCCGGCCTTGTACTTTCGTCAAGCAAGGTCAAACCGCAAACTTCGACCATTGTGAACAACAAACGACCGGACTAAATAGTTATTTCCAAATGCTTTGTAAAAGTTGAAGAACGTTTCGTGTGTCCTTGAGCAAAGCAGGCGTCACTCTTGGTATGCCTCGCTGCCTTCCCTTGGGAAGTTTATTCGGGAATAGGCCAACCATGAGATATCACACCCCATTTGTTGGGAAAGTACACAATTGAGAAAGCTCGCGCCATTTCTCAACTGACGACGCTTCTGCCTAGCGATTTTCACTGCCCTTTGGTGACAATGCGCAAAAACTTGGGCTCTTCGGGTGTATGGGAAAAAATGCTCCTTGAAAAGAATGACCGAGAATAGGTCGTCTGAGGCGGAAGGGAAACGTTTCACGTGACAACTCCTTGTAAAAACGAGCTGTCATTGCTTGACTTAACAAACTGACACGAACTATAACCTCTAAATCAGGAGGACCAGCACACATCACCCTTTTAGTAAGAACCTTCACCGTTGAGTGAACAGCGAAACCGGTGAGTTGGCTGTCCTTGAGTCCCATCTAAAGAAGCTATTCATCATGTTTAACACTTACGTCGTGTGCGCTAGTAAAACCACTGTTCAGTATGGTTCACTTTGAGGCGCATTTGTTTGTTGGGGTGTAAACAGGAAGATCTGAGTTTTTGCACATATACTGTAGACCAACTGAGCTCTTTCACGTAACATTACTGCGGTGGCGCTGCTGTCGGCACTGCGCATGCGCAGCGCCTCAACTCTCCCGGATCTGGTTCCTGCACACGTGCTGTGTGGGTTAACGAGGGCTTGTTTTGTAAACACTGTGTCGGTGTATACGGTAAATAAATGAGCACGAATTACTGCCTCAAGGTATTCAAAAATAATGTCAAACTAATTTCTTTACTTTTGGAAAGTAATTGTATTGTAATGTCATTACCTTTTGTCTGCGATAATTGGTAATATAATTTAATTACATTTTTTGCAGTTTTCAGGAAAGTAATTAGTAATGTATTTTAATTACTTTTTGAAAGTAATTTTGCCATCTCTGGCGTACGCGACGAGAATAAGATTGTACTTTAGCAGGCATATCTGTACAACACCTATCAAATATAAATAAATCCTATTAAAAGTTTAGTTTTCGCAGCAGCAGAAAAAAAGAAAGATATATAAGAGATCATCAGTAAATAATAATAAAAAATATATCTTACAGAAAGGCCGACTGGTCACAAGGGCGCATTAAAAAGAAATGTTTAATCAACCGCAGATTAGGCCGTAGATTTTTCCGTTTTTTTTTTTTTTATGACGGAAAACGACAGAAGTTTCTCGGTGTTCTCGGGTTTTAATTATTAGTAGTTTCTCGGTGTTCTCGGGTTTTAATTATCGGCGTATTTCGCCGAGTTCTTTCCGACACACTCTAAAAATGGTGATTACCGCTCAAAAACTCTAATGAAATACTAAATGGTCAAGCCTAAGACGGGAGAGTGTCACCAAAATTAGTTCTATCTGGAGCAGACATTTCAAGAAACCAGTGTATTACGGTTTTAACAATTATTGCAATTATTTACGTTAACGGATGTTTAAATGTGTTTTATGGCATGAGCTGCTTTTGTCATTTTGACACCAACGAATGTTTTTTTTTTGTTTTTTTTCAGCTAATACCGGAAAGTCTATGGCCAAGATGAACTCTATTTAAGCTCACTAGGCCACAAAAGCATGTTACATGCCCCTCTAGCCAATCAGAGTTACCAGTGAAACATATGACATATTTCTGCAGAAGAAGTTTACCCAAAGAGCGTTGTCACGTGCCGTGTTCCTGTGCTCTGATTGGCTCGCTGGCCTTGTAGTTTTTCGCCGTTTTCCAGGCAAGGCTTAAACAGGTATAGTAGTACTGAGTCAGTGCTTTAACGTTTCAGTAAAAAGTAATTTTAACGGCCAAAACACTCTTCCCAAGCTTTTAAAGATACCTTCCACCCACACAGGGGCTGAAGACTGAACCCCACGGCGGCCATCCTAAATATGCCGGAAGCTGTGGACTTTGGGTTTTATTTATTTTTACTTGCAAACTTTGCTTTTGTGGACATTTGCTAAAGATTTGTCGTTGTGGAGATCTCATTAAACGACAAGAGAATCAATTTCTAAAGGTAACTTGCACGGTAGCTTTTTTTTATTACTATGTTAAATTAGCATTGCTTTTTTTTAAATAATTAAGTATAGAAGTGCACGCCCGCACGAGTAGGTGCATTAAAGCTAGTTTATATGGTTACAATAAAATGTATGGTACTTAATGTAGAGTATTACCATTCATTTGTATCTTCGGAGTCACTCCGTTAACAGCGAAGAACGGGAAAAACAAAGATTGAGCCACGCCCACCACAAAGAAGGGCAGTGGGAAAGCCCAGAGCTGCGAGAAAAATATGTATAGCAATGGTCAAAAACTTCACACTTACATAACAATATTCTTTCTATTCCTCTCACAAATCGTCAGGGCATACATACTCCACGGAACAAAATGTACAGCTGCCTGAGTGGAGCAATTTTCTTTAATGTGTGGCAACAGTGAGAAACCTTTTTGAATTAAATGAGAAGGGTTGCTGTATATTGTTCTCATTCGTGAACCTGGGGCACATACTATAGAGACACACACAACAGGGTGGGGTCAGGTTATAGCCTTCATTTATGTGTTGCGTTGTGTCCGTTTTTTTTGGTCTGACATTTAATGAAAAGTGTGATATATTAAGCCTTTATTGTATGTCTTTCCTTTATCTTTTGTTCAGGCACTGAGTGCGCGGCCGCTCACTGATATTTTTAAAGGCAGATAACACAAACAAAAAATGAAAGCCGTTTACAACTCCCTGTAAGCCGAGTGCAGCTCTTGAAGAGGAGTAGGCAAGGGTACTGAGGGGGAGGGGGGGGGTCATGTGACCTCGGGGAGGGGGGTCACGTGACATCGTAGGGAGGGGAGGTCACGTGACCCCCCATGAGGTCATGTGACCGCCTTCCACGAGGTCACGTGGGGGGTCACGGGGGGGGTCACGTGACCTTGGGGCAGCACGTGACCTGGGGGTTTCACGTGACATCGGGGGGTCACGTGACCCCCAGGGAAATTTTTCCGCTAGACTTAGCGGGGAAATGTTTCTACTAGATTTAGCGGGGAAATATTTCCGCTAGATCTAGCGGGGAAATTTTCCCGCTAGATCTAGCAGGGAAAGTTTTCTGATAGATTTAGCGGGGAAACTTTTCCGCTAGATTTAGCGGAGACATTTTTCCGCTAGATTTAGTGGGGAAATTTTTCGTCTAAATTTAGCGCAGAAATTTTTACGCTAAATTTAGCGGGGAAATTTTTCCGCTAGATTTAGCGGGGAAATATTTCCGCTAGCTTTAGCGGGGAAATTTTTCCGCTAAATTTATCGGGGAAAGTTTTCTGCAAAATTTAGCGGGAAAATTTTTCCGCTAGATTTAGCGGGGAAATTTTTCCGCTAAATTTATCGGGGAAATTTACCCATTATGCACCGCGCGGTTACGCCGACGGCGACACCGACGCCGCTCAAGCAGGAAACGGGCGCCTAAGAGCTGCGCTCTAAAAAGTGCTTTTGAGGTTGTCACACTGCATACGTTCTTTGATTATACACAAAAATAATCCCTGATAATGGCGGAATAAGGGGGACAGGGGACAAACACATATATCCAAACACAGCTAGGTACAATTATATTTTACAAAGGGCTGCTTTAGCTTTTTAACCACAAGGACAATTACATTTTTACCGATAACAAAAACGCAGATGTGTCAACATTTTCAGCGTGTAGAAATCGCTTTGTAACTATGTAAATTATATTAAACAATGGATTGAGTGTATTTAGCGTTTCTGTAAGTTGGATATTATGTATATATTGATTATTTATTGTTTTCGCACATTTTGCATATGTATGAGACTTACTCCATTTGAATGTGAAAAGAATAATGACAAAGCCGTTTTGTT